GGCTGGTGCTGAAAGAGATGGGATCAACATGGCTAAGGAGAGGCCTACTGTTCTAAAGTGGAGTAGAGGGAAGAGTGTCCTCAGGGTCCTCCATCAGCAGGCTAAACTTCCAATTTGTAAAAGGAAAAACCAGAAGGGGGCTTTCACCCCTAGAAAGCAACTGAAAACAAAAGCTGCTGCTAATGGCACTCAAGGGGGTCCGTCCTAAACTGTCCTCAGACCTTGGCAGTCCACAAGGCACTGGGTTTAAAGGGGGAAGAAAGCAAGAGTAAAGGTGTTGCAGACTTTCCTCTGGTTCTGGAGAGCCCTTGAGGCCAAGCACACAGGACAGAGGAGTCTCTGCAAAAAGGCCCTGAGAAGGCCGGGAGTCCTGAAAGGCCACTGAATGAAGCCATGAAAGTGAAGCCTGGGTTGCATTGGAGACTAGAAGATGTTGCTGATGCTAGAGCCATGGGATATCTGTCTAGAAGAGATACACACAGGAAGTGGAACCAGGGGAGAGAGAGAGAGAGAGAGAGAGAGACAGAAAGAGAGAGAGAGAGAGAGAGAGAGAGAGAGAGAGAGGTGTTGCAGGTAGCGCAAAACTGGAAGGGCAGAGCCATCTAAGTCCTTTGGAAGTTAGGTATCAGATGTTAGGGCTGGAAGGATGGTCCAGCAGTTTATAGTGCTTACTGCTCTTCCAGAGGACCCTGGTTCAATTCCCAGCTCCCACATGGTGGCTCACAATTGTTAACTTCATTTCTAGGGAATCTGAAACCCTGTTTTGACCTCTGTTGGCATCAGGCATGCACATGGTACACATACAAACATTCAGGCAAAATACTTACACATAAAAGAAAAATAAATAAATGCAATAAAATTGTTTTTTGTTTTATTTTGTTTTGTTTTTCTTTGGTTTTTCAAGACTGGGTTTCGCTGTAGCTTTGGAGCCTGTCCTGGACTAGCTCTTGCAGACCAGCCTGGCCTCAAACACTCAGAGATCCACCTGCCTCTGCTTCTGGAGTGCTGGGATTAAAGGTGTGCACCACTGCCCAGCTAAAAGAAATTTTGAAGGAAAAAAAACCTTCAAACATCAAACATGGAGCTATAATATTCGGCGTTTGCCCTGCTGGTTTTCAGTCTTGCTCTGGTCCAGTATTTCCTTATTATGCTCCCTTTCCTCTGTGAAATGGTAATGTGTATCCTATGCCTTTGTATGTTGGAAGTATGTGGTTTACTTTTTTATTTTACCAGGGGTTTCAATTGAGAGATTGTCTTGGATCTAAAAAATACTTTGGTCGTTTTTGGTTTTGGTTTTTCCAGACAGGGTTTCTCTGTGTAACAGACCTAGTTCACCTGGAATTCACTCTGTAGACTCGGCTGGCCTTGAATTCAGAGACATGGCTGTCTCTGCCTTTCAAGTGCAGGAATTAAAGGCTAGTGCCACCACCACCTGGCCTTTTTTTTTTTTAATCTATTTATTATATTTATGTCTCTCCTGTATGTACACCTCCATGCCAGAAGAGGGCACTAGATCTCATTACAGATGGCTGTGAGCCACCAAGTAGTTCCTAGGAATTGAACTCAGGACCTCTGGAAGAGTAACCAATGCTCTTAACCTGAACCATCTCTCCAGCCCGGAGACTTTTGTCTTGTAACTGTGAAAGGCTATGAGTACCATTGAAGTTGGACTAAATGCAGTTTGCATTCTGAGATGGCCAGGAGCCTATGGGGGCCAGAGACTGGAAAGCCGTGTTTCAATGAGAAAGTCCTCCATCGTCTTAGACATTTGGATACTTGGTCCTTTGCTACTGGTGCTGTTTGGGGAGGTTTAGGAGGTGTGACCTGGCTGCAAGAAAGGTGACACTTGGAGTGTTTAAACATGCCTCGTGTCGTTTCTAGCTCACTCTTTCTGCTTTTGTGAGCTTGCAGTGAAAGACATAAGCTTTCAACACCCCGTTCCTGCCACTATGCCTGCTTCAGGCTGCCACCCCTCCCTGACATGACAGACCTATCCCTCTAGAACTGGAAGCCCAAGTGAGCTCTTTTTTCTATAAGTTGCCTTGCTCCTCTTTTTTTTGTGTGTTACTCATAGCAACAAAAAAGTAACAAGGGGGGCTGGAGAGATGGCTCAGAGGTTAAGAGCACTGGCAGAGGTCCTCAGTTCAATTCCTAGCAACCACATGGTGGTTCACAACCATCTATAATGGGATCTGATGCCCTCTTCTGGCAGAACATTGTATACTTAATAAATAAAATCTTTTAAAAAAAAAAGTAACAAAGGCAGTGAGATCCTGTCTCAGATAAATAAACCAGGCACCATTGGCCATGTCTATAATTCCAGTACCTGAGAATGGGGACAGGAGGATCAGGAGTTCGAGGACCATTGCGATGGTTTACTGGGAAGAGGTACCTGCCACAGAGTCTGAGGTCCAGACACACGCTGTGACTCCCTGCCACTAACACACACCCACAAAGAAATAAACATAAACAGGTTTTCCTCATTTAAAATAGTAGGTGGAGGCTAGAGAGGTGGAACGCTGGTTAAAAGCGCTGGCTGTTCCTCCATAAAACCTGGGTTCAATTCCCAGCCCCCAAATGCTGGCTCACAACCATCTGTAACTCTAAATCCAGGGATCTGTCACCTTCATCTGGCCTCTTTGTGTACTCCATGAACATAGTGCACAGGTATACATGCAGGCAAAACACTCATACCCTTAAAATAATCAACTTTTAAAAAGAGAGTCACGAGCCTCAAATATAAAACAGCCAGTGACAGACAATTGTAATACAATGTCAATACTGTAATGCATGAATTAATCTTAGTTCCGGTTGTTCACAGTATTATGAAAATGGTCATCCCAGCATTTGGGAGGCTGAGTCAAGAGATCTCATGAGTTCAAGGCCAGCTTGGGCTATGTAGTAAGACTGATCCTGTGAAAAAGTAAATAATTAAATGTAAAAGTTCCATAAAAAAATTCACATATGGCAGGGGATACAGCTCTGAGGCTAGGAACACACACTGCTTTGGAGAGGACCTGAAACATGTTAATATAACATATTAATTATAAACATGTTACTTATATAATGGTCAAAAAGTTAGCCAGGCAGTGGTGGCACTTGGGGGTCAGAGGCAGGCTGATCTCTGAGTTTTGAGGCCAGCTTGGTCTACAAAGCGAGTTCTAGGATAGCCAGGGCTGTTACACAATAAGAGAAACCAACCAAACAAACAATTCCTTTTTTTTTTTTTTTTGAGAGGTATATAGTTGTTTTACTTGCAGGTATGTTTGTGGACTACATGTCTACCTGTGTGCAATTCATGCAGAGACCAGAAGAGGACGTTGGGTGCCCGGGGACTGGAGTTACAGACTGCTGTGAGCTACCATGTGGGTGCTGGGAATTGAATCCCAGTCTTCTGAATGAGCAGCCAGTGCCCTTACCTGCTGAGTCATCTCTCCAACCCTACCTCACACATTTTTTAAAACTTCTTTGTTTTAAAAAACTTATTGATGTAAAAGTGTCAGATTCCCCTGGACTTGGAGTGACAGACAGTTGTGAGCCGCAATGTGGATGCTCGGACTTGAACCTGGGCCCCCTAGAAGAAGTCAGTGCTCTTAACCCCAGAGCCATCTCTCCAGCCCCTCCTTACACATACCTTTTAAATACTCTTTAAGAGGAAGTTGTAGACAGCACGCTCCTTTGTCTCTAATCATTTCAGTACTTTTCTCCAGGAAGGCAGTCTTGTTCTGAAAACATAAGAGGAAAATATCTGTCGCCCCAATCTCTCATTCAGCCACCAGCCCAGACTACTAATGTGATTCCATACACAGTTTCCCCACATGCCCAGCAACAGTTATTTCTGCAGCAGATAATGGCTGGGTGTCCTCCTAGGACTTTAGGAATATGTGCTAACAAGAGGGTACAAGGACTGTTATTGTTATTTTATTTCACAATATCACACATAACCCACAGTACAATAAAATAAATAAATTTAGTATCAATACTAAGATTTAGTATATAGACAAATTTTGCTAATTCTCTCAATATTGTATTTTCTTTCTTTTCTTTTTCTTTTTTCCTTTGGAGCCTGTCCTGGAACTAGCTCTTGTAGACCAGGCTGGTCTCGAACTCACAGAGATCTGCTTGCCTCTGCTTCCCGAGTGCTGGGATTAAAGGCGCCCGACGTATTTATTTATTTTTCAGTGCTGGCGATGAACACAAGCCATTGTAAGCACGATGCTGAGCTGGACCCCCAGAACAGCCATCTTCATCTCTTACTCAGTAATATTCTTCAATTTGCACGGCACACAGAACTTAGGGACAGTACAGACCAGTTATTCTGGAAGGTGATCTTGGTTTTGTTTCTCTGTTTTGGTATTTTTTTTCCCCCATGATCTGATTAATATTATGAATTGAAGGAATGGACAGCGATGCTGCATCCTCAATGTGCCGAACTGTGAGGTTATGATGGTGTGTTTGTTTTGTTATTGATGTTAATATGGGCCAATTGTTTCTACTATAAAATAGCTATTTTTTTTCCAATCTTCTTGGAATTCTTGGAGTTTCCTTTCAATTTCGTGGGAACCAAAAGAAAATAAAAGTCTTTCTTTTCGTCAAGTGGATCCCTACTACAGCTGAAGACACCCCTCGCTGTGCCTTTGACATCATCGCCTTTGTCAATAAAGTTGCACGAATGAGAGCGCAAACCTCTACGGAAGGATGCGGCGCTTTGCCGCATAGTCTGCCGGGATTTGTAGTCTGCGGGTGCTCCCGTCAAGCACCGTCCTACGTAGTCCAGCCAAGAAAGAGCCAGAAGCCGAGAGGGCGGGCGGAAAGAGGGTTGCTAACTCGGAGCGCGGTGCTTCATAGGAATTGTAGTTCGTCACGCAAGTCCAGCCATACTCGTGCCTGCGGACAGGACTTTCCTTCCCGGGAGGCTCCGCACGCGGGCCCGGCAAAACCCCACCTCGGCTTGAACAAATCAAATCGAAGGAAAGAAACTGCCGGCTTTCAAAAATCCTCCTCCGCCGCCATCATCGCTGGAGATCCTGGAGCAGGTGGTGTGCACAAGCGAGACGAGCAGCCGCTGCAGCGAGGACAGTCGGGCGGGACTGCGCACTGGGACCGTCGTACGGGGGCGCGGTGACCGGCCCGTCCCTCACGTGGGCTCTCGAGCCGTCTCCGACGCTCCGCACCGACGCGCGTTCCGTCGCCCCACGCGGCGGCGCCGCCTGTTTGCGGTGAGTCGGGGCCCTCGTGTTGTTCTGTCACCTGCCTGGGCCACCAGAGCCTGGGTGGGGCGAAGCGATCGCCTCGTGCCTACTCCTTGACTTCGCGGCGCCCACCGCGGCCCCGCGTGGTGGGGAGGGGCGCTGGACAGCGCTGACCCTTTCACGTTTGGGGAAACTGAGGCCTCGAGAGGACCCATTCCTCAACTGTCTTTCGTAGCGCTGCTGCCCGGGGTGGCGTCTCATGTTGGCATCCATCTCACCTGGAGGCGGTGCGAGCCGCCTGGTGTTCCGGGTGGGGCCCCGCCGCCCATCGCCGCCTACCCAAGTCAGCCCACGTCCGCGCGGGAAGCCTGGCATGAGTCACTGCTGACGCTTTGCCGGGTCGATGGATGGATGTGCACCTGAGGACGCCTCCCACGCGGCCGCCCAGGAGGAGAGGGCGTTTGTGTATTGACCGTTTGTATGTGCTCCCTCGCAGGCTGGCTGCTGACCTTGGACAGATCTATTCCAGCCCCTCTGTGCTTTGGTTGGTCAGCCTTTAAAGCGAACGGGGGAGGGCCTGTGTGCGCCTGTGTGTCTCCGTCCCCTGAACTAAGAATGTCTCCTTTCCACCTGAAGCCTTACCACCGCCGCCACATTTTTAACCCTGTTGCCCCATCTAAGAACTGTAACAGGTGACAGTTTCTCATCTTCGTGTTGTCATTCTTGAGGAGCTCCTAAGCAATGTCAGGCTTTCTACCGGGACGCTCTTCCTGTCAAAGCAGCTTGATGCAGTTTTATCTGGTAGAAACCCCCCAGGGACCCTCATACTGCTACACACCCTTTAAAGTAGCCTTGGCGGTTTGAGGCCCTTAATTAATTTTTTTTTCTAACATTTCCATATTCGTCTCTCTGCTCTAGCCATGGCCCCACTGGCCTTGCAGGTCCTTCTCTTTTCCCACAAGCCTGTGCATTTTCTGTTCCCTTTATAGGGATGCTCTTCCCTTGGTTTTCGCGTGGCTCGATCTGTGGTATCTTTAGTTTCTTTACAGAAAACACCTTTAATTATTCTACTATAAATTGCAACCTCCCACTTCTCCAGAAAAAAGAAAAAAAATTTTCAACAAACCCCAAAAGCACCTTCTTGGCTTTCCTTTCCTGGTTGCTTCTGTGGGTTTTTTTCTTTGTATTTTTAACAGGGTCTCACGTAATCCAGACTGGCCTCAACTCCCTCAGTAGCTGAGAGTGGCCTCTAACTCCTGCCTTGTCTCCCAAGTACTAGATCATAGGTGGGCACCCACCACCTGGTGGTTCTTTATTTTTTTGGTGGTGACAGAAATTGAAACCAGGGCATAAATTCCAGGCGAGACTTCTACCCCTAACTGCCCCTCCCTCACTTCCAGATTCCTTTTCATTAACATGCAAAAGGATTTTGTTAAGAGTGTAAGCTTCAAAGAGTGTGATTTACTGCAAATCTCCTGGAACAGTGTCAGTACGTAATACCGTGTTTTGTTGAATGTTCTGATGTTTTATCCTGAGTAATAATCTATGCCTATTCTTTTTAATATTTATTTTTTGTTATGTGTACAGCGGTCTGCCTCCATGTTAGTCAGAAGAGGAGAAGGCACCAGATCTCATTACAGATGGCTGTGAGCCACCCTGTGGGTGCTGGAATTGAACTCAGGACCTCTGGAAGAGCAGTCGGTGCTCTTAACCTCTGAGCCATCTCTCCAGCCCTAGTCTGTGATTATTGATAAACTAGATAAACCAGGGTGCTCAGGAGTAAGAAGGCAGACTGAGCCCAGAAGTAGCCTGGTATGTGGCAGGATATCTGAGGAGCAGGAGGTTGGTGGGGCCTAGTTCATTGCTGAGACTCCTGCCCTGACCTATGGGTAGCAGGATCATTGTGTGCATGTGGTCTAGCATTCAGAAGGTACTCAGAGAATGACTTGACTGTTCCCTGTGTCTTAATCAGCTTTCTATTGCTGTAAAGTGACACCATGACCCAAGACTACTCTTATAATAAAATAATAATAATAATAGCATTTAGTGGGGTGCTCACTTACAGTTTCATAGGTTTGATCCATTACTGTCATGTTGTGGCACGTAGTGGCACCAATGGGCTGAAGCAATAGCTGAGACACAACCTGATCTGAAGGCAGAGAGAGGATTGTAATTTATAAGCTTATGGGGCCATTCTTCTTCGGACCACCTCACCCTGGTACCTGCCACATCCTCTTGGTACCTCACTCTCCGAGGTAGTGCTGGAGCTTAAACCTGCAGACTTCTGCATGGTAGACAGGTCCCCTTCTCTTAGCTATACCCCAGCCTTACCTTTCCATTCTGCCAGTCTGTTAAACTCCCAGCTGTGGGCAGCTTTGTCACTGGTGGTGAGATTATGAAATATGTATTTGGTTATAGTTCTGCTTCCTGCCATAGAAAACTCCTGCAATTCTAAAGTGACGCGCCTTTGTACTCTAGTGCTGACTCCTGGCTCTCAGTGCCTTTGGAAGTGCTTGGATGGGCGGAGGTAGTAATTAGGAAAACCCAAACAGAATTACTGAGTTGGGACTCTTGCCCTGTATCCCAAGTTCAGATTTATCGACACCTAAGATTTAACCATCATATTTATGTAACGAAGTCTATTAACCTTCAAAAAAACAGGGCTCAGAAGGCTTCCAGACACCTGAACTTGAGATTCTCGGAGGATGGCAGGCTTTACGAGTACATGAAGCTCTGGTCCCTTTTCTCTTACCTTCCCTGTGCATTCTTTGTATTTATCTGACTGCTCATTTGTACTCTTTAAAATATCCTTTGTTTGCTGGCATGATGGTGGACACCTTTAATCCCAGCACTGGGGAGGCAAAACCAGGTAGATCTTTGTGACTTGGAGACTATCTTGAAATATAGCTTGAGTTCGAGCCAGCCAGAGATACACATTGAGACCGTCTCTAAGTAAATAAATAACTGAATGAATAAGTAAGTCATGTGTTGGGGTTTGAAGGTATGATGGTAGAGGTCTTGGGTACCACCCTAACACACACATACACACCCTCAAACACAGACACATACACATCCTTTATAATAAATCAGTAGATATAGTATGTTTTCCTTGAGTTCTGTGAGCTGTTCTAGCATATTAATTGACCCCAAGGGGAGGGTCATGGCAACCATAGTTCATAGCCAGTGGATCAGAAGCACAGGTAAACACCCTGGGGTTCATGTCAACATCACATGTGGGGCAGCCTTGTAGACTGAGCCCTCAACCCCTGGGATCTGAGTGTCAGGGCTGGATTAGAGGATAGCACAGAGCTAGTGCCCCTGCGGTGGTTGCTTGTTGGATGTGTGCAGTGTGTGCCTCTGAAACACAGTGGAGAAGCTGAGTCTCTATTGTGATGGCAGCCCTTGTGATGTAGGTCCCTCTGGTCTCCTAGGCATCTCTGAGAGGCTGCTGTGGCGTGTGCAGTCTCCTGGCCAGGGTTGAAACCAGACATGCCTTAGCCTTGTGTGCCACCTCGAGTCATGCCAGCATGGGCAGTGGGCCATTCCCTGGGATGGATGACCTGGATCCTATAGCCATCTATGTCCTGTTTGAGGAACGGGACCCTCAGACAGAGTGCTGCCAAGATGACCAGGCAGGTGTGTGACTCCTGGAGCCCCTATTGCTTTGGGACTGCACTGGGTGTGTCTCCCACCTGGGGCAGTTTGGAGAGGGACTTGAAGAAGTTACTACTCTGCCACCTTTCCAGACTGTTCTTCTAATCCCATATTCATTACTCTGGTGCCTTTAGGCCCTCCATGACAGGAAGAGGGCTAATGCACCCCCTTCCTCCCTACTCCTGCTACACACACACCAGAGATTTTAAGGGGACACCCCCCCCCCCCACACACACTTTGGGGTTATGCTAGGGATCAAAACCAGGGCCTTAAGCTTCCCAGAATACTTTTTCTTTAAAAAAAAAAATATTTATTTATTTATTATGTATACAATGTTCTGTCTGTGTGTATGCCTGCAGGCCAGAAGAGGGCATCAGACCTCATTACAGATGGTTGTGAGCCACCATGTGGTTGCTGGAAATTGAACTCAGGACCTTTGGAAGAGCAGGCAATGCTCTTAACCACTGAGCCATCTCTCTAGCCCACCCCCCAGAATACTTCTTAAAAACTTTGTTTATTTGTTTTTTTTTTTTTACTTTATTTATTTTGGGTTTTTTTGAGACATGATTTCTCTGCAGCCCTGGCTATCCTGGAACTCACTCTTTAGATTAGGCTGACCTTGAACTCAGAGATTCACCTGCTCTGCCTCCCTTGTACTGGGATTAAAGGCATGTGCTGGCATATGCCTGGCTTGATATGTTGTTGTTGATTCTTTTTTAAAGATTTATTGATTTTATTATATATACAGTGTTCTGTCAACATGTATGTCTGCAGGCCAGACCAGAAGAGGGCACCAGATCTCATTACAGATAGTTATGGGCCACAATGTGGCTGCTAGGAATTGAACTCAGGACCTCTGGAAGAGCAGCCAGAGCTCTTGACTGCTAAGTCATCTCTCCAGTATGATATGTATTTATTAATGAGTTGGGTATATTGCCTGCATATATGTGTGCACCATTTACCTGCAGTGCCTACAGAGGCCATAGCCACTGTATGGATGCCAGGAGTTGAACTCAACTTCTCTGGGCAAGCAGCCTCTTCAGCACTGACCATCTCCCTAGCCCCATGGTTCTCACCTTCCTAGTGTTGCGGCCCTTTAATACAGCTCTTCATGTTGTGGTGACCCCCAGCCACAAAATTATTTTCGTTGCTACTTCATAACTGTAGTTTTGCTACTCTTATGAATTGTAACGTAAATATCTGTTTTCTGATGGTCTAGGTGACCCTGGCATGATAGCTGCTGCCCTTGCCCCTTTAAAAAATTCTTTAAAGATTTTTTTTTTAATATTTATTTTATTTATTTATTATGTATACAATATTCTGTCTGTGTGTATGCCTGAAGGCCAGAAGAGGGCACCAGACCTCTTTACAGATGGTTGTAAGCCACCATGTGGTTGCTGGGAATTGAACTCAGGACCTTTGGAAGAGCAGGCAATGCTCTTGATCACTGAGCCATCTCTCCAGCCCCTCTTTAAAGATTTTAATTCACTGTGTGTGTGTGTGTAGATCAAAGGACAAGTTTGTAACGTGTCTGTGTGAGCATGAGTAGATGCATGTGAATGTGGTCTCTGCTCTGGAGTTGAAATAACAAGTGGTTGTGAGCTGTCCAGTGTGGGTGATGAGAATCAAATGTGGGTTCTCTGTAAGAGCAGCAAGTACTGATGAGTCGTCTCTCAACTTCCCCTTCACTAGATTTTGTGTGTGTGTGTGTGTGTGTGCACGCATGCCATGGACTTTATTGGTAGAATTAAAGAGACTAGGGATTGCTAAGCCCCTCCCCATCTTCTGGGGGTCTGGGATGGAAACTGAGGGGCATGTTCAATGTTAGGGGCTAAGTTGGAGCAGCCCTCCTCAGCAGCTGAGGGCCTCTCCCTTGCTCTCCTGTCTTTTTGCTGGGGTGGGTGGTCTGGTCTTGGAGGCATGTAGGCTGTGAGGTCTACCACCCTGCTGCTGTAGCCATATTACGACGTTGTCATTGAGAGCAGTGCCAGCTCCAGCATCAAAGGTGGAAGAGTGGGCGTCACCGTTAAAGTCACAGGAGATAACCTGGCCCTTAGTGTAGCACAGGATGCCCTTTAGTGAGCCCCTAGATACCTGCTTCACCACCTTCTTGGTGATGCTTGGCATCAAGTCATCATTCTGTTTGGCAGCTTTCTCCTGGTTGCAACATGTCAGATCCACAATGGGCATATTGCAGGTAGGAACATGGAAGGCCATGCCAGTGAACTTCCCGTTCAGTTGATGCAGGGATGATATTCTGGGCAGCCCCATAGCCATCGCACCATAGCGTCTCAGAGGCCATCTACAGTCTTCTGGGTGGCAATGATGGTGTTGACTGTGGCTCCATGAGTCCTTCCACAATGCCAAAGTGGTCATGAATGACCTTGGCTGGGGCACTAAACAATTGGTGGTGCAGGAAGCATTGCTGACAATCTTGAGTGAGCCATCACAAACATGGTGGCATCAGCAGAAGGGGCAGAGATGGTGACCCTTTTGGTCCCACCCTCCTAGTGGGCCCTGGCCTTCTCCATGGTGGTAGAGTCCCCAGTAGACTCCACAGCATACTGGGCACCAGCATCCACCCCATTTGATGTTGGGATTTCGTTTGTGGAAAAAGATGATGGCCTTTCTGTTGACAAGCTTCTTGTTCTCAGCTGTGCCCTTGAACTTGCCATGGGTAGAGTCACACTGGAACGTGTAGACCAGGTAGTTGAGGTCAGTGAAGGCAACAACATCCACTTTGTCAGACGTGAAGGAAGCTCTGGTACCCAGGACCTTCACCATCATGTGTTAGGGACAAGGCTGGTGCCACACAAGTAGATGCGCTGTCTCTGGAACGGTGGGAGCAGAGACCCGAGATTCTTTTTTCTTATGTTTTTAAATTTTTTTAAGATTCTTTTTTAAAATGCAGTTTCTGTCTTCAGTTTGCAGATCTCTAGGGCAGCCCACCTTTGTCGCCAGCATGGCCTCTGAAGATATTGCCAAACTGGCAGAGACCCTGGCCAAAACCCAGGTGGCCGGGGGACAGCTGAGTTTCAAGGGCAAGAGTCTCAAACTGAATACTGCTGAAGATGGTAAGTTCCTGGGCTAGCTCTGCGTGTGTGTGTGTGTGTGTGTGTGTGTGTGTATGTGTGTGTGTGTGTGTGTGTCTCGGTGGGGGGGTGTCTCAGGCTTTCTGAGCCACCCTATCTTTATCATATCATTTGCCCTGGCAGTCTTGGGAGGTGAGCTCAATGTCATCATTGGTCCATTCTAACAAGTTTTCTGTTGGTCTGTGTGTGTGTGTGTCTGTGTGTTCTTTTGACAAGGTCTCATCAATGTATAGACCAGACTAGTCTCAAACTTGTCCATCTAGTCTAGCCCCTGCCTTCAGGTCCAGTCCCCCGGCCCCCTTTACCCTCACCATCCCAGGCAGCTGTCTTCCTTATGGCCAAGGCCCTGAGGGAGTTTCTTAATGCAAGAGTAGGGTTGGGCCGTCGGGAAATTCCAGTCCTTGTAACCAGGCATTACTGGCAGAGGGAAAAGGTTGCTTTCCTATCTTCTTGTTCATGACCAAGGTTTAGGCAGCAGACAACCCTGAATCCCTTGCTGCCTAGAAATGAAGGTCTCTGCCTTTAGACCTTATGAGGCCTCTTGGAGTTCTGGCCCAACCAGGGAAACTGGTTTGGACTTGCCAGACTGTCTAAACTTAACTCCTCTGCTTCTGGGGCCTTTGTGACCTTTGGGAGGGTGAGGATCTCTAACAAAGTCATAGTAGCTTGAAGTTTACAGATTCCTCCATGGATACCCAACCCCTCAACTTCACCTGCTTTGTACATTTTGATTCCTTATTAGTTTGTTGTGGGTTTTTTGTTTGTTTTGTTAAGGCAGGGTCTCACTAAGTAGCCAAGGCTAGCCTTGAACTCATAAAGAGCCTGCTGCCTCTTGAGTGCTGAGATTAAAGGTACTCACCACTAGATGTGTCTTTCTGAGACTTGGTTTTTCCATGTAGCCTTGACTCTATTGGAACTCTGTACCCAGGCTGGCAGAGGAGAATGGCCCTGACCTCCTTGGTCCTCCTCTCCTGGGAGGTGGGGTGTAGAAATGCTGGTGCTGCTCCAGTGCTTCCGATAGACACTGAACTTCATTCAGTGAATCCAAACTTGAAAATGCTGTTTGTGGGCCAGAGATGGCTCAGTGGTTAAAGGCACTTTTATACACTGATGGCTTGAGTTGAGCTGCTAGAACCCATGAGGTAGGAGAGACCTGACCCCTGCAGGTTGTTCTCTGACCTCTACGTTTGTATGCACTCACCAAGCACAGTTAATAATGTGTGACATTTTTCCCCTTTAGAAGGCTTTATCCCCATCCTGCAGACTTGAAAACTGACTATGGACATACTGTAACTCCCCCAAGGCCGTATAGTCCCCAGCAGTGGAAGTAGAGTTAAAATGCAGTTGTGGGCTGAGGATGCAGTTCAGTGTACAAGGCCCTGGATTTGATGCCTAGCCATGCAGGAGGCAGACAAAGGCCCTGAGTTTGGCTTTGAAAATTTCAGGTGGCCAATTTTCCTACCTCATCAGCATTATATTAGGTCTCTGCAGAATGTGCGCATCTTTAGAGATTTGAACAAAAGGAGATCCTCTTGCCACTGCCTCCTGAGTGCTGGGATTAAAGGTGTGTGTCACCAGGCCTGGCCCTGCCCTTTCTGCTTTTTTTTTTTTTAATTTATTTTATACGCCTTGCTGTTTTTGCCTTCATATATGTCTGTGTGATGGTGTTGGATCCCATGGAACTGGGTTCACAGACAGTTGTGAGCTACCATGTAGGTGCTGAGAATTGAACTCTGGTCCTCTGGAAGAGCAGTCAGTGAGTGCTCTTAACCGCTGAGCCATCTTTCCAGCCCCACCCTTTTTGCTTTTTTTTTTTTTGTTGTTTTTTTTTTTTTGGTTTTTTGAGACAGGGTTTCTCTGTGGCTTTGGAGCCTGTCCTGGCACTAGCTCTTGTAGACCAGGCTGGTCTCGAACTCACAGAGATCCGCCTGCCTCTGCCTCCCGAGTGCTGGGATTAAAGGTGTGCGCTACCACCGCCCGGCCCCTTTTTGCTTTTATGGCTTGCATAAGTGTTTTCTTGAACAACATCTGAGAAGGCCAATCTCCTGATATTAGAAGGGGCCACCTTTTGGAGCAAGTCTTGTAAAGGCAGAGATCACCCTAGCTAGCTATTGTCCTCAGGACAGCTGTAGAGGAGGCTCTAGCCACAGGCTTTGCAGCAAGAGAAGAATTTCAAGGTCATTCTTGGCTATATAGTAAACTTCAAAACCTAACTGTGCTACATGAGACCCTATCTTTAAAAATCACAAAACCAAAAGAGAAACTATTCATAATGTCACTCGTGCCCACCTGATTGAACCACAGTGAATAGCTGTGCTCGCTGGAACGTGGAGAATAGTCTGTACAGCCCTGCTCCTAACTAGGCAGGGAGTCTGTCCGTTCTGTCTCTGGGAATATCGGGTTCACAGTGTTGAAGGAAATGAGTTCTGGTGCTTCCTGAGTTGCTCCTGTCCCAGTGGTTCTCAACTGCCGAAGCCTAAGGTGCTCTGTTCCCACAGCTAAAGATGTGATTAAGGAGATTGAAGACTTCGACGGCCTGGAGGCTCTACGACTGGAAGGTAACACAGTGGGTGTGGAAGCGGCCAAAGTCATTGCCAAGGCCTTAGAGAAGAAGTCGGAGCTGAAGGTGAGAGTGCAGGCGGAAGAGTCTGCTCGCCTTGCGGCAGCTGCTGCCTAGGTCCAGAGCCTGGCGACCCCTTGTCCTGGGGACTGGTTCCCACATCGTTCTTCTCTCTTTGGTCACGTCAGAGCACAGGGTTTTGGTATTTTTTCTGAAATGAGACAATCATCAGGTAGCATTATGAGTTTTAATTAGAGGTAGCACCCTTGAAAGACAAACTGAGGGAGTCTTCTAATCCCAGTTAATGTCCCGTCCCCCACAAGAAGCCAGCATGTGCTTCTGCCAGACTCACCTGTAGCAGCTAGAGCTAGGGGTATGACTTTGGCAACAGGTTGTAAATGGCTGCTACCTTTGTGTCATTTATCTGATCGTTTTTACTAAACTTACTTTTTATGTATTTTAGAAAAAAAAAAACAACAAAACTTTAAATTTGTATGGGTATTTTGCCTGCATGTATGTGTGTGCACCATATATGTGCCTGGGCCTAGCAGAAGGACATAGGATCTCTTGGGACTGATCCTATGGATCTGTGGTTGTGAGCTTCCACGTAGGTGCTGAGAACTGAACCAGGGTCTTTTGGAAGAGCAGCCAGTAATCTTAAATGCTAAACCATCTCTCCAGCCCCTAAACTAGCTTTTAAAGTAATCGAAGGCAAATACCATTTCTCTAAATAGGAAGTCATCAGATGTAATACAAAAGAAAAGAAAATAGAAGAGTGTGAATTTTAGCTTGATACTATTACCACCTAAGGGCTTTAAGTCTGAGTCTCATTCTCCCTTAAAAAGTAAGGTGGGTGGATGTGGTAGTGTAAGACTGAAGTCCCAGTACTTGGGAGGTTGGGGAAGGAGGATTCAAGGCCAACTTCAGTTACATAATCTGAGGCTAGGTTGGGCCTCGTGAGACTCTTGTCTGGAAAACAACTAAAAAGGCAAAAAATGGGGACTCACAAGCCACGGATGGAGGTGGTCAGCCAGCAGTGGGGGTAGGTAGGACCTACAAGCTGTGGATGGAGGTGGTCAGCCAGCAATGGGGATAGGTAGGACCCACAAGCTGCGGATAGAGGTGGTTACAAGACCTGAAAAGAGGTACTACTTTTCCAGAAGACCTGTTTACTTTCGTGTTCTTCTGTCACTCAGAATTGTCATGTGTCCCACCAAAGGGTGGGACAGACCAGAGAGACTACCCTTTGCCGCCAAGTCCCTCGGGCTGCAGACAGAATTGGCCCAATTCCCTGCTGAGAAAACCAAAACTAGGACATCCTGTAGTCCTCTCGGGAGCCCAGGTTCCCAGGGAGCTGGTGTGAGACTTGAGGCTGCTCCTGGGTTCTCTGGCTAACACTTCCCTTTTTCCTGCACAGCGCTGCCACTGGAGTGACATGTTCACCGGAAGGCTTCGGTCCGAGATTCCACCAGCTCTGGTAAGGACCAGGTGGTGCTTCCCTGCAGGCACAGAAACCCTGTCAGATGCCCCTCACACCTCTGTTCTCTGGAGAGTCTGCTTAACCCCACAGGTGAAGACCAGGCGTGCCCAGCACCTGCCCTGTGTCCCGACAGATGATGGAGCCCACGGGGCCTCAGATGGGAGGAGGTGCTGCTTCAAGCAGGCGTTCCCAATCTCCTCTTGCTGTGACCACCCTCTCCTGTGCCCCTGCTTCCTCTTGACCTCAGTCTGCATATAGAGGACCTGTTCCTCAGGACCTGGACTGCAGCATGCAGTCTCTTAGGGCTGCTGCACCTTTCCCTGTCACTCTTGAGTGTTGTGATCCTTCATAGTGGCTCCAATTTCTAGGGCCAAGTTCCCAGCCTGAGAGAGAGAGGGGAGAGAGATTCGCAGGGGTACAGGTGGCAGTGAGCTAGGTCTCGGTCTGTGTGCCTAGCACAAGGCCTCAGAATGAATGTGTTGGGGGTGGAGGGTGCTAGATCGGCTGCCCTGGTCCTGCCTTCTTCTCTTCAGTACAGCACAGCAGTGGAGTTTTAGAAAAGCCTACACCCCATCCTCCCTCCTAAAGAGCCACAGTAGAGATACTGGTCTCTCAAAGGGTCTAGAGGGGTCTACTGTGGGGGACCAGCTCCTGAGAGATGGTGGGGATTGAACGATAAGCAGGCTGGGATTCAGAATGCAGGCTGAGTGAACTCTTCAGGTGGAACAGAGAATAGAGCAGCTTTGCGTGGCCTTTAGTTTGCTTGACATTGAAGGCATGGTTTATCTCCACATTCCAAGTAAGAGAACATGGGACACTAGATGGTTCTGGTCCAGGGAGAAGTAGACGCAGTGCACGGTGTGGCCACCAGAGGGCTAGAGGTCAGCTGGGGCTAGACCTTCAGCTAGCAGGGCAGCCATCATTTTGTTTGTTGAGTGAGAGGATGATAGGAAACTGTGTGCGTGGTATGGGCAAAGGCACGGTGTTCCCTCTTGAATTCTGCTATTCTGGGCCACTTGCCCACCCTCTTCTCCCATCCCACCTCTGGCAGAGCCTCCTCTGGTCCCTTCTGGCAGGACTGGGGGTGTCTTCTGCTGAGGCAATCCTGAAACTACAGGTGTTTATGAGGCCTTCTTGCATGTCCAGGAGACCCCCAGCTTAGGCCGTACCCATCTTTATCCCTGCTGTGGTTTCTGCTGCTATCTGGAATCCTTCTGTGTTGACTGACTGGCTGTCATCTTCAGTGAGCTCAGTGCCTTCTCGTACAGAGAGCCATCCTAGGTTTTCCTATCTCTAGGCACCACTCCCTCCCTCCCATTCTAGTGTAGGAACATAGTGATGGAAACTACTGTAAAAGCCAGTGTCTGGGCCAGCCTGGTGGCTCCGTGGATAAAGGTACTTGCTTTGTGCATCGCAGTTCAAGCTGCATTCAGGTAATAAATACCATAGTAGACAGAGAGAACCAACTCACAGAAGTTGTCCTCTTTCCAGTACACACGTGCCTAGACTCAAACACACAACGATAGCAACAGTAATCTATGATTTTTAAGCCACTGTCTGTGCCATGTTCTCACTGGCTTGGGCCTGGCCCAGAAGTGGCATTAGGTAGGGGTCTAAGAAGCTGACTGAGTTCTCTCTCCATCCAGATCTCACTAGGGGAGGGGCTCATCACTGCAGGAGCGCAGCTGGTGGAACTCGACCTCAGTGACAACGCATTTGGGCCTGATGGAGTGCGAGGCTTCGAGGCCCTCCTCAAGAGCCCAGCCTGCTTCACCCTGCACGAGCTCAAGCTGAACAACTGTGGCATGGGCATTGGAGGTGGCAAGGTGGGTTGACAGCCCTGGATGATCCTCCTGCATCCACACTAGACTGTGTGCCAGCCCTTTGCCCCACCACGGGGGACTGTTGTCCCTCACTTCAGAGGAGAAAGCAGTGCCTCAAAGACAGCAGCCTGCAGCCAGTGAGGAAAGGAGCCCAGAGGGTTGGGTTGCTAAGCAACCATTCCAAGTTCTTGGGTTGCCTAGGCAACACAGAGGCAGTGCTGCTGCATAACCTGCTCTGACCTGCTTGCTGTGCAGAATTTGGGCTGGGGAATATCCTTATACCAAACCTCTTGTTACTCAGAACAGCTGGCACAGCCCTGGAGAGGAAAGAGCCCATGGAGAAACCTGTTCCTGCAGAGTTGGTTTTCTTTTATTCCTGGACAGAGCTGCTCCAGGTTCACCTTGTGGCTACTACCAGCCATATAGTGAGGGAGACTGGCCCTCTTGTTTCCCTCTCTTTTTGAGGCTCTGTCAGACACAGAGCTGGGTCACAGAACACTGACGGGTGTGGGTTTATTTGTGAAGATGCTCTGGGCATTGCTGGTGCTACCTGCATTTTTCTGTTTGAGTTCACAAACGTTTGGATGTATGGAATATGTTATTCACATGGTAGTGGTAGTTTGGGGAGGTATAGAGTTTGAGCCATTCTTTTTTATTTCCTTCCTTTATTGTGGCAGTGAGGATTAAACCTAGAGCCTAACACATGCTTAGCACGCACTGTAGAGGTATGTCTCTACCCCACAGGCTCCATCCAGAAAGGAAAAAAACTAAAATGAGCACTGAATTGTCCAGGTTAAGGAGACAGAGTGACTGCCTCTGTAGAGGCTGCCCTGTTCTATAAAGGGAGAATAGGGAGCAGGTTCCAGGCCTTTCCTAGGTGCCCTCTTCCCTGTTCTAATAACTTAGAAAGAACTTAAAGGGAGCTGTTTTTATTTGTATTTTGTTTTTGAGACAGGGTATCTTGTAGCACAGTCTTGCTTCAGACTCAGTTGAGTGTGACCTTGAATTTAAGTCCTTTAGCTTCTACCTCCTAAGTGCTAGGATTGCAGGCATGCTGCATGTTGTCCTAAGTGCTAGGATTGCAGGCATGCTGCATGTTGTCCTAAGTGCTAGGATTGCAGGCATGCTGCATGTTGTCCTAAGTGCTAGGATTGCAGGCATGCTGCATGTTGTCCTAAGTGCTAGGATTGCAGGCATGCTCCATGTTGCCCATTTTTTTGTGTGTGTTGAGGATTGAACCCATGACTTTGTGCATTCTAGGTAAATACTGTACCAACTCAGCTAATCCTCAACCAGAAAGTAGTTATATCTTCTGTTTAGCATATTTAAATGACTTACATCATCCATTTTATCACTTTGGGGCTCTTCTCCTGCCCCACTTGCTCTTTTTTTTCTTTTCTTTTTTTTCTTTTTCTTTTTTTTTGGATTTTTCGAGACAGGGTTTCTCTGTAGCTTTTTGGTTCCTGTCCTGGAACTAGCTCTTGTAGACCATGCTGGCCTCGAACTCACAGAGATCCGCCTGCCTCTGCCTCCTGAGTGCTGGGATTAAAGGCGTGCGCCACCACCGCCCGGACCACTTGCTCTTTTTTTACCCCTTGTTTTGTTTTGTTGTGTTTCTCTGTGTAGCCCTGGCTGTCCTGGAACTCACTCAGTAGACCAGGCTGACCTTGAACTCACAGAGATCTGCCTGCCTCTGCCTTCTAAGTACTGGGATTAAAAGGTGTGTGCCACCACGGATGGCTGGATGGCTGTGGCTAATCTTAGGTAAAATAAAAGTTGCTTAAGCACAACAAGTTTTGTTGGATGGTATCAAGGACCATGGTCCGACAGGAAGCTCCCATAATGTGGGAGAGATCTTGAGGTTCTGGGTGGTGGCCAGAGTCTTCTGGTTTAGTGACCATGAGAAGCGCCTACGTAGGCTGGTTGTTGTGGCACATGCTGGTAGTCTAATTACTGTGGAGGTCGAGGCAGGAGGATCACCAGCCTGGACAGCATGTAAGACTGTTGGTGGATCTTGGAAGACTGAATTAGAGCAATGTGAATTCAAGAGCAGCCTCCACTACATAATTAGATCCTGTCTCATTAAAAGATCCTGGCTTCTCATATTCTGGAAGGTTGAACTCATGACAGTTTTAACCCAGGAGAACCCTGAAATATCTGGGAATCCATACTGCCCTTGGCTTAAAATCCAGCTGCTCCCTTTGTGTCTACCTACCGGGGACCCCTGCACCAAGTATACAAACACCAGAAAGTATAGAAGGTCTACGTGAACTGTAAAGTGCTGGGCCCACTGTGCTTTATAGCAGTGTCCGTCCTGGGATCCACCAAGGAGGAGGTGTGGTTCACTGGTGTGAGGGCCTGGCCAAGATCGGCACACAACTCCCATGCCTTTCCCTGTAGATCCTGGCAGCAGCTCTAACAGAGTGTCACCGCAAGTCCAGTGCCCAAGGCAAGCCCCTGGCCCTGAAAGTCTTCGTGGCTGGCAGAAACCGCCTGGAGAACGATGGAGCCACTGCTTTGGCAGAAGCTTTTGGGGTGAGTCATTCATACCCTGCTGTGCCAGACACAGAGGGGTCACAACAGGTTGAGAAGCTTCTGTTTTGTTAATTATGTTCAGTTGAGATGGGGTATCTCTCTGTACTCTGTATGTAGCCCAGGCTTGCCTCCTGAGTGTTGGGGTTAAAGCGCCACCACCCCTGGCTTATTTTTCAAAAATGTGTTTATTGTGAGTATGTGTGGGTGCCCGTGCCATGGTGCAGATGTTGAGGTCAGAGGGTGACTTGGCGGAGTTGGTTCTCTCCTTCCACTTACGTGAGTTTCAGAGGTTGAACTCGGGTCTTTCCCCACTGCACCATCTCACTGGCCCCTGCAACACTCTTTACCAACTCTGTCTTCCTGTCCCCATGTTCTGGGACACTGTGAGGACTGAATCTGCCCCAGCCAGGCCAGGAAACTTGGGTCTCCATTCCCTTCTTTCCCAACAGATAGAATTTCACCAGCACTAACCAAACTGCCCAAACAGCAGCCCTGATAACCTTGCCTAGGAGCTGCCCGTAAGGCCTCCTTATCCACCCCAGTTGGAATGGCCCTGACAGGGAGTTCTGGGCCGGAAGGGGGCTACTTGCTATCCGCAGACCCTTCCAGTGGCCTGCAGCCTTCAGTCTCAAATCTACTTAGAATGGGGTTCTTGCTCCATCCATGGTATCCCACCCCAGTCTGTGTGGTCTTTCAATAGAGATGGAAAAACTATTAGTCCTAATGTCGCTAACCAGTCTCGTTTGGACTGTGGGAAGTAGAAGCACCTTGCCATGGGTAATTCAAATCCACACGCACCTTTTGGTTGTTTTGGTTTCCTTTCTTCGGTGTGTGTGTGTGTGTGTGTGTGTGTGTGTCAGAGAACAGACTCAGGTTCAGCTTTCTTCGGTGTGTGTGTGTGTGTGTGTGTGTGTGTGTGTGTGTGTGTGTCAGAGAACAGACTCAGGTTCAGCTCCTGGGGTCTCATTGACTCAAGCTCGGGAATTTGGCTAGAGGGACTGATCACAGCCCTGGGAATCTCCTGTCTCTGCCCTTCCGCCACCATGGCTGACATCTTCATGTGGATCCTAGGGATTGAACTCGTTTCTTCACTTTTAATAACAAGGCAAGCACTTGACTGAGCTCACATTTGGATATTGTGGGTGCTGGGTTTTAAACCCAGACTTCATGCTCTTTAGACAGTGCTAGGCCGTCTCTTTGAAGTGCTCTAGTCTGCCCGAAGACTGGGCCTCTCCTTGTAAGTTTGGGACTAACGAGGTACTGTCTCAGTGACAGGACCAACTGGGGCTCTGAGGACACAGGCTTCCTGTCCTGGCTGGGAGGATCCAGTCTTCCCAGGTGTGCAAGTTTTTATTACTAGCTTGATACAACCTTAGAAGAATTACATGGGAAGAGAGTTTTATTATGTGTAAATCTATATGTGGGTTTGTGCATATGAGTGCAGGCACCCACAGAGGCCAGAGGCATTGGCTCACCCCGTCTTTGGAGTTACAGACAGTTGTGAGCTACCCAACATGGATGCTAGAAACTGAACTCAGGTCCTCTCCAAGAGTTGTCTGTATGTGTAACCACTGAGCTATTTCTCCAGTCCCTGAAAAGAGGGTCTTTATTTTTATTTTGTGTGAGTGTTTGAGCTGCATGTGTGTATTTGTGCCACTAGTACCCAGTGAGGCCTGACTGTGGATGCTGAGAACCAGACCTGGGCCGTTTCTCCAGCCCCAGGCAAGAGGGTCTTAGTGGAGTTAGTCTAGATCAGATTGGCCTGCGGACGTGTCTGTGTGGGTCTGAATGTGGGCAGCACCATTTACAGGCTGTGTCCTGGACTGTGAGTGAAGAGAAGCAGCTGAACAAGAACAAGCAGCGAGGGTGTTTGCTCTCTCCTAACTGTGGAGGCGATGCAGCAGGCACGCTCGCTCTTCAACAATGACTCAGAACTGTAAACCAAAATAGAGTAAAAACCTCCCTTTCCCACACTTGAATCTTTCCCGTTCGGGCTGCGTGGTGCTGGGCTGTGGACAGACAGTGCTATCCATGAGAAAAGGCTATCCTATCCAGACAAGTTGTCTTCCATTTGCCTTGGTGCTTCTTCCTACAACTCTGCCTTCTTTCCTAATTGAGAAAGGAGGGTGTTTGAAGATGATGGAGCTAGTACTGGGAACTAAGAACAATAGGGATATTGAGTATTTGTTTGGACTTAACAGACCTCAGTACCTTCATTTTAAAACATGCCTTAAAAAACCCTTTCAGCTCTGCAGTGGTGACTTCTCTGTGGATCTAATGTGATCTGATGTGACTATGTCCAAAACTTTGCTTTAAGATCTGTGCCCTGGGAACCCAGACAGCCCTTGCCTGATGCTGGTGGCATCTCCCTTACTACTCTGCTGTGTGTCGCTATGGCATCGGGCCACACTGCCAACTCTCTTCTTCCCTGCAGATCATCGGGACTCTGGAAGAAGTTCACATGCCACAGAATGGAATTAACCACCCTGGGGTCACAGCCCTGGCCCAGGCCTTCTCCATCAACCCCCTGCTGCGAGTCATCAACTTGAATGACAACACCTTCACTGAAAAGGGTGCAGTGGCCATGGCTGAGGTGAGGCGAGTATGGCAGGGGCCTTGTGGGCCTCAGGAGGCTCATTGGCAAGCATGGCTCTGCCCCTACCCTTCCGCCTTCCCATGTTCAAATACCCCACAGCCCCTCCCATTTGCATAGAGCAAGATTGTGTGTTACAAGTCCCTGCTGGGTCCTCGGGAGCCGGTGCTGTTTCTGTTCAAGCTGCAAAGGAAGTTGTTTGGCCCTATCTGTTTCCTTGTTGGTGCATTCAGTGCTTGCATGTTGAGCCCTTTGTCTGTGTCCAGTTTGCGCTAGGTGGAGCTTTGGCAAGCAGGGTTCCTGCTTCAGGGAGATTCTTCTATAAAGAAAAGAGCTGCTGACCAGTTTTGTGTAGGCTCTGAGCACAGTGGTAGCTACCTCAGAGCTATGGCCTCTGGGTTGGTGGGGCCCATGGAGTTGCATCACAAATGCAGGTGTTGGCATCAGTGAAAGGTCAAATTGGACTTCAGGCTGGCTCCTGTGGTAGCTTGCTTTTTCTGGCTAAGCTGACAAGCGGTGGGGGTGAGTGGTTCCGGCACAGTGATTAACAGAATGAGCGATCTGCAGCCTAACGGGAGCCTTCCTCAGCTGGTCCTAATGTGAAATAAATGAGGCCCAAGGGGTGTTGGGAATAATGAAGGGGGGAAGGGATTTGAGACCTTGTAGTGTTGCCAGCTCTGTAAGTAGGAACCATGGAGGATTTTAAGCCCTGATGGGATGCAATTCGATTTGATTCATGCTCCGGGAAGAAATCTGTCCATAACACGGGAGTCGTGTGGTGAGATGGTTAGATGGTCAGACCCGTGTACGACTGATAGCACCACCTCAGTCCCTTGCTTCGTCCTGTCAGACCCTGAAGACCTTGCGGCAAGTGGAGGTGATCAATTTCGGGGACTGTCTCGTGCGCTCGAAGGGGGCCGTTGCCATTGCAGATGCTGTCCGTGGGGGCCTGCCCAAGCTGAAGGTACTAACTTCTCCCCTGCCCTCTTCCTTTCAGGGTCTAGGCTGCCCCGTGCCAGGGTTTCCCTAGGGTGGTAGGATATGAGGCATAAAGGGTCTGGTGTGAAGGAGGGTGGGCCTGGGCGAGGTCTCAGTCGTTTCCCTTTTGTGTAAACACCTCAGGTACTTTGCCCTGGGTTCATAATATCGTTTTTATTTTTCTTCATACCCCTATGCCCAAGCTGGGAGGCCAAGCCTGCTTCTACTGCTCGTGGGGCAGCTGGAGAGAGTAAGGCTTGTTTCCTGGACCAGGCATGGTATGCCTCTCTACCCCTGTCTCTAGGAACTGAACCTGTCGTTTTGTGAAATCAAGAGAGATGCTGCCCTGGTTGTTGCTGAGGCTGTGGCTGATAAGGCTGAGCTAGAAAAGCTGGACCTCAATGGTAAGTAGGCTGCGGTGGTGGGCGGTCAGCCTCGGCTCAGCTGGCCCCAGCACTGTCCTCCCTGACTTTGCTCTCCTTCCCGGATCAGGCAATGCGCTGGGAGAGGAGGGCTGTGAGCAACTTCAGGAAGTGCTGGACAGCTTCAATATGGCCAAGGTGCTGGCATCCCTCAGGTAGGGAGCTCTGGGAAGGTGGCTCCAGGGACCAGGGGTCAGGCTTGCTCTTCACTTACTCCACTTAGTTTCTCTGTCTGGTAGCTGGCGCCTTGGTGTTGGAGAGGAAATGATGAAGAGCTTTTGTGTGTTCAGCAAAGGACCACAGGGGTTAAGGAGGACTCCTTACAGACCTGCATCATCTCTCCCAGGAGAGGAGTTAAAGGCAGCTGTGAGCCACTGTGTGGGTGCTGGGAATTGAACTTCAGTATTCTGCAGGAGCAACCATTGCTCTTAACCACTCGGGATCTCTCTAGCCCCACTCGCCGGTTTATTTTTTTTGAGACAGGGTTTTGCTCTATGACCCTACCTCTGCCTTCCAGTCGCTGGGATTAAAGATGTGTGCTATCACTCCCAGCAGATGTGTTAGCAGAAGCAGCACATGGAGGTGTGGGAGGCTCAGGCACTGAAGGGGATGGGTTCAGTTCTTAGTGGCTGATAGGAGTAGAAGCGGTTGAGCCAAGAGGGAGATGCTGAGGTGGGCAGCAGTGGGGTGACATTTTTGCAGCACCATCTCCTGTGCCTCTGTCACCCCCAGGGAGGCTTCATTCACGTGTCAGACACTTCGGTGTTTTCAGGATTGGGGACTCAAATGTAGACCAAATCTCCAGAGAGCTAGAATGTCATATCATCCTGTGGTCACATGAGATGCTGATGGCAGGACCCCAGAACCTGAGGCTCTGGGACAGAGACCATTTCTGATTATTCTGTGTCTGTTACATGGGAAGCATCCCTTGGGAATGATAAACAAATGACACTCTGGTGGTCCTTGAGTGCCATCCTATGAGCAGTGCTCCTGGGCCTGGCCAGAATCCATAGGCTCCGAATCCGCATGGGCTGCTAGGCTCTAGCTGGCTTCTCTCTGCAGTGATGATGAGGGAGAGGATGAGGAGGAGGAAGATGAGGAGGGAGAAGAGGATGATGATGAGGAGGAGGAGGAGGAGGATGAAGATGAGGACGAAGAGGAGGAGGATGAAGACGAAGAGCCGCAGCAGCGAGGGCAAGGAGAGGAGTCAGCTACACCCTCACGGAAGATTACAGACCCTAACAGTGGGGTGAGTTTGTTGCTGGGATCAGAGTCCTGGGCCCCTGAAAGCCTGTTGGGATATAACTATTTAAAATCTAATAGCTACAAGCACCAACTGGATAGCATGGTTCTCAGAAAATCATTCCAGGGGCGAGATCTTTTTGAGTGTTTTACCAGAATGCAAGTGTACATGTGTGCTGTGCTTCCAACACATAGTACTTTGCATAGATTTATTTATTGAATACAAAAAAAGCATAGCTGAACATGACTCATGCCTGTAATCCCAGCACTTTAAAGAATGATGCAGGAGGATTGCTGAAAAGTTTTGGGCTACATAGTACAAAGTCTTTTCTCCTCTCCACCACTAGGTTATCTTGGTGGCTTCTGTACCGAGTCTTCTCTTTCCCTACAGCCAGCTCCCAAATAATGACATGGGGACTTAATTATAAGAACATGCTCTTAGCTTAGGCTTGTTTTTAACTAGCTTTTATAACTTAAATTAACCCACTTATATTAATCTGTGCTTTGTCATGTATGGCTACCCTGCTTCTCTGTGTCTACTGGAGTCTCACATGCCTAGATTCATCTCTTTCCCTCTCTCCCCAGAAATCCCGCCTATACCTCCTCCCTAGCTATTGGTTGTTCAGGTTTTTATTACACTAATCTCAGCAAATATACCTTCCCATGGTGTATAAATATCCCACAACAGCCTCCTAGGGACAGTCTAGAGATTGTCACTGAGGTTGAGAGAGACTTGAGTTTCTTGCCTGAGCCCATTGGTGATTTGTTTGTATCTCATAGGTTCCAAAATAAAACTCCCAGAGTCTGGGTGGAGCCATCTGACTGCCCATACCCCTGCAGATCAGGGCTGCTTTTCTGGGCTCTGGGAGCAGTTAACTGACAAAGTGCCTCTCAGGGTTGCGTTTCCCTGGGCACCTGGTACTTGTTGGCAGCACTGACCCAGGCACTGGCCTTATTCACATAGCAAAGCTGCACCTGGAGTGCTAAGGCGACAGTGTCTTGTCCCTTACCCCAGAGTCTTCAGGAACATCTGGATCAGCACCTGTAGAAGCCATATGCTCTACATAGGGTCCTGTGAGGGAGAGCTAAGTCTAGACCTGGCTAGAGAAATGGTGTTATTGGAGTGGGAATGGGCACAACCGGGTGGAGGAATCTACAGAGCCCATGTCACCTGTTTCTCAGGAGCCAGCTACCGTGCTGTCCTCCCCGCCTCCCACAGACCTCTCCACCTTCCTGTCATTCCCCTCCCCAGAGAAGCTCCTGCGCCTTGGTCCCAAGGTCTCCGTGCTGATAGTCCAGCAGGTAAGAGCTCTCCCAGCTTCAGGACCTCTACATCCCTCTCTTAGATTTGTCTGTGAACTACATACAGTGTGTCTGTCACAAGGATCCCTGCCATGTCCCAGCAGAAACTAGAGTTAGGGAATCTGACTTTTTTTCCAGTCTCACACTTGTGTATGCCCTCATTATGTTCCACGGGCTTCTGCTTGTCTAGCTCTTTCTAGAGCACATCCCCTTTCCCGGGCATCTGTGTAGCTCATGAGATGGTCATTCAGGGAAGAGTAGCCCCTGACATTGTACTTCTCCATGTCAACTGACAGGGGACCATGTATGTCCTCCTGGTTCTTAAAAGCATTACATTTTGTCACATAGTTACACACACCTATAAGTTCAGCCTTGGGAGGCAGGTGGTCTTCTGTGAGTTCAAGACCAGCTAAAGATACATAGTAGGACCCTGTCAATAAATTTTTAAAAACCCATTTTATTTTGTATGTGTATGGAGGTCAGAGGACAGCTTACAGAAGTTGGTTCTCTCCTACCAAAGGATCAGACTCAGGTGTTCAGGCTTGGTGGCAAGTTCCCTTATCTGTTGAACTGTCTTGCCAGTCCACTCTTACAGTATACTGAAGAAAACTAAGCCGGGTGGTGATGGTGCACACCTTTAATCCCACACTCGGGAGGCAGAGACAGGTGTATCTCTGTGAGTTCGAGGCCAGCCTGGTCTACAGAGTGAGTTCCAGGACAGGCTCCAAAGCTACAGAGAAGCCCTGTCCTGAAGAACAAAACAAAACAAAACAAAAACAAACAATAAAAAGATTGGAGCTCAATTGACAGCAGCCAGAAAACTTCTCTGTGATGTTACTTCATGACAAATGAGATTATTTGGTATGAACATTTTCATTCCATGCTATTCAACATTTTCTTTTTTCTTTTTTTTTTTTTTTTTTTTTTTTTTTGGTTTTTCGAGACAGGGTTTCTCTGTGGCTTTGGAGCCTGTCCTGGAACTAGCTCTGTAGACCAGGCTGGTCTCGAACTCACAGAGATCCGCCTACCTCTGCCTCCCGAGTGCTGGGATTAAAGGCGTGCGCCACCATCGCCCTGCTCAACGTTTTCTTGGCTCAGAGTTCTCAAGAGCTTCTAGTGAGTGGATCCCACACTTGAAACTGGGGCCACTAGTTTTGAAAATTGGCTTTTTCTACATTTCTTCATTGTTGACAGAAGAGAGCCAAGCCTTCCTGTGTAAATATTGGCTTCCTCTGGCTGATTTTTAGTGTTCGATTATGATGGTGGCCATTCCTTTCTAGTGTTAGAGTAAGATGATGGTGGCCTTTCCCTGAAGAGAATGGATGGAACTCATTTACTTCATTTGCTGCTCATACCTGTTGTGGACCAGGTTTTCACCAGACTCTAGGGAATAATTTGGGACAAATCAAGTCCTTGCCCCCCAGGGTCTCAAATATTGCCAGGGCCTTTTGCAGTTACTTTCCACCAAGTTGGAGCCAAGGGGCTGTGGCCCCTAACCAGCCATTACCTCTGTCTTCAGACTGATACCTCCGACCCTGAGAAGGTTGTCTCAGCCTTCTTGAAGGTAGCATCTGTGTACAGGGACGAAGCCTCAGTGAAGACAGCAGTGCTGGATGCCGTCGGTAACGTGAGCTGGGTGGGGCTGGTAGACCCGGATGCTGTCCTGTGTTCTGTGTGCCTGTTGTATATAGTTAGAACTTGGTCTAAGAGTGGCCAGGGCAGATAGTCAAAAAGCCTGATAGTCCAGTCTGCAGCCTTTGTGCCCCGTGGGAGACTTTGCACATGTGGTCACCTTCACAAGCTTTCCTGGACTCTTTGCTAATCTTCAGCCCTTGTCACCTTACACTTTGTCACAGCCATTAGAGCCTCCAGGTGTGTCAGGTTTGACCAGAAGTCCCAGGGAAGGGCTAGCTTCTGGCAAGAAAAAGGGAGCAGAAACACATGCTTCTTAGGGGGCTGTTCACTGGTGGGGAGGCTAGCGAGGAAGCAGCTCTCCAGGAATCATGAACTTCTAAAGATGCAAGAGACCTAAATTCTTTTGCACAGTCCCATCAGTCTTCTTTTCTTGCCTGATACCCAAAACCTTCCCTGGTGGTTTCCATGGCCCCTGGCCCCATGTGCAAGGTCAACAGAATGGGTACTGTCACCACACCCATTTTATAAGGGGCCAAGTGGAGAAGGCATTGCAGCTGGTAAACTGAGTCTCCCATTGGTGCTGGCACCCCCGCCCATCTACTATACCTGTTGTCCCTCCCATGTCTACCCCTTGACAGGGCAGAACTTAGGGGCTCAGATACCCTTGACTTATATCTAACCCTCTCCTGCGTGCATCCTGCCACGCTCCATTTCTGCCCCTGTAGATGCCCTCATGAAGAAGGCCTTCAGCTCCTCATCTTTCAATTCCAACACCTTCCTCACCAGACTACTCATCCACATGGGTCTGCTCAAGGTGAGGCTTCGAGAAGTGGCAGGCCCGGAGAAGGCCACTTCCCCCGACGACACTCTCAGTAGGGTCTCACAGGTGACTGTGGAGCTCACACACTTTTATTTGCAGAGTGAAGACAAGATCAAGGCCATCCCGAGTCTGTATGGCCCCCTGATGGTGCTGAACCACATGGTGCAGCAGGATTACTTCCCCAAAACCCTTGTACCCCTGCTGTTGGCATTTGTGACAAAGTAAGTGTGGCCTCATTGTTCTGCCCATTCTTGCCTGAGAAAGACTCCTTGACTGGTCAGGGCACATGCGTCCTCAAGAGTCCTGTCCCAGCCCCCATGTAAAGGCCAGAGTTACTCACATTGTCCTTGCAGAGTCTGACATATCCCCCCCCCCCCCCCCACTCCCTGAGCTATCCCTGCACTCACTGCACTGTCTTCCCACAGGCCCAATGGCGCACTGGAAATCTGCTCTTTTGCTCGCCACAATCTGCTGCAGACACTGTACAAGATCTAAGCTTAAAACCAGCTTCTTCTCGGCCCTTACCCTGAACCAGTGAATAAGGGGACTTGGATGGATTGAGCTCAGCCAACGTCTCCATTGGATAGGACTTTGACCAGAGGCAGGGGAGGGTCTTTGTCTCCTGTGTCATGTTGGTTCCTTGAGTACGTGTGTCAGTGTGGTGTGTGTAGGTATGTACTTCCGGTCTGGACTTCAGATGTTCATCTTCCCTGCTGGACTAACCCAGGTCCACTGTGGGGGACACCCAGGGGACAGGGCTGAAAGCCGCTCTTATTAAACTTCCGCCCACTTAGCCGTAGGCCCTGTTGGCTGTCCTGCTACCCTGCCTTTCTGTCCCACCAAAGCCTGGGAAGTTACTGTGCCCTGCTGTCTCCACCGTGTCTAAGGAACTGTCAGAGGTGGAGCTGTCATCAGAGTGTAAAACTCTGGTCTCAGCCAAGTGGTCGAAAGGAGGCAGGGGCCAACCCCAAATAGCCCAGGAGTAGGAATTGCCTGGGGTGCCCTGGCTCTTATACCCAGAGGAAGCACCTTGGCTGGCCCAGACCTGTTCTTCATCCTGGGAAGGGAAGGGCAGGTCCCCCTAATGCCTGAGCTACACATCGGGCTGCTCTTTGAGGGTTTTCTGAGGCAGGAGAGAACCTGTGTAGTGGGGACTGAGCTGGGTAGGAGCTGCCCTGTGACTTCCCTTGGTGGCTATGTGGCCACCTCCTGCTTTCCTTTGTATTGTGTGTCTAGGCTGTGCCTGGGAGCTTCATAAATAAAAGTCACTGTGGTAGCTACAGAGACTCAGAAGCGTTTTCATCAAAAGTGGGGACATCTCAGGACTGGGATGATGGTTTGGTGTTTCAGTGGTTAAGACAACTTTCTATGCAACATGATCAGATCTCCAAGATCCTGTAAAAAGCTGGGTAGGTAGGGCTATGTACATGCGCACATACAGAGGGGTGGCCTAGGTCTCTTTCTACCTGCTTGCACTTTGGAGCTTCCAGTCTGGCATGGAGGTTTCACAGTAGTGACCAAGGGTGTGGACAGGGAGGAGGGAAACCTTCAAGTACTAAGGAATCTCAAACAGTTTTGAGGTTCGGATGGGAAGCCAGGAGGGTGGCGCGTGATAGAGAAGAGGGCTGGGGGCCTACCTACCTTCCAGTAGTGATTTGAGGCTGACCTTCCTAGGTAGAGTGTAAATAAACCTTTACTTTAGACAAGAGCTCATCTACCTCACAGCGGACCATCAATACCCCCTTCTCTGGATAAGGCTCAGCTTAAACACTTGCTGGGGAAGTAGAGATGGCTCAGCCAGTGAGCGCACTTGCTGTCTGGGTGATCCACAGTTCAGTTCCCAGCACCCACATGGCAGCTCACAACTACCCATAGCTCCGGTCCCAGGAAGTTGAATTCCCTGGAACTGGAGGTTATAGGCTTTGTGAGGCTCCGCGTGGGTGCTGGGAACTGAACTGTAGAACTGTGGCCCTCTGTAAGAGCAATAAACTTTGTTTTTGTTTTTTTGAGACAGGGTTTCTCTCTGTAGCCCTGGCTTTCCTGGAACTCACTTTGTAAACTAGGCTGGCCTCAAACTCAATCTGCCTGCCTCTGCCTCCCGAGTGCTGGGATTAAAGATGTGCGCCACCACCGCCCGGCTCCAGCTGATATTGTGGTGTTAAATAGCAGCCTTTAAGTATATTTTTACTTTATGTGCATTGGTAGTTTGCCTGCGTGTCTGTGAGGGTGTCTGGTCCACTAGACAGTTGTGAGCCATGTCTTCGGGAAGAGCAGTCAATGCTCTTAACATCTGAACCATCTCTCCAGCCCCCTAAAAATAAAAGATTGGCCAGAAAGGTAGCCACTGCCAAACCTGACATCCAAAGTTTAACCCTAAGGGTAGAAAGAGAGCTGCCCTCCCTCCACCCCCCAGGTTATCTTCTGACCTTGACACATGCTGTTATCTTTGTATCCACCCCAAAGTGTGAAAATTATACATTAGCATTTTAATACACATACATTAAAATTAAGGGGCTGGTGAGGTGGCTCAACAGATAAAGACATTTACCTCCAAGCCTGACTCCTGAATTTAGGCCCGGACTCCTGAATTAGGAGGAGAAAACCTGTTCCTGCAATTTGTCTTCCAATTGCCACATATATGCTGTGGCATACATGTTCCTATGCTCATATACACAATACATTAAAAAGTTTTAAAAAGTGAAAGCCGGAGCCAGGCGGTGGTGGCGCATGCCTTTAATCCCAGCACTCGGGAGGCAGAGGCAGGCGGATCTCTGTGAGTTCGAGGCCAGCCTGGTCTACAAGAGCTAGTTCCAGGACAAGTTCCAAAGTTGCAGAGAAACCCTGTCTCCGGGAGCCGGCAGGGAATGCCTTTAATCCCAGAGATGAGGACACAGAAGCAGGTAGATTTCTGAGTTCAGGGTCAGCAGGTTCCCTGACAGCCAGAGCTACACAGAGAAACCTGTTTAAACAAGAAAAAAAGATGATGGTACAAACTATTACATTGCCACATGCTTGTCATCCCAGCATTTCAACACCCGGGAGGAGCCAGGAGAATTATAAATTAAAGGCTTCTCTCTTGCATATTGTTCAAGGCAAGCCTGGGTACATAAGACCCTATCTCAAACAAAAAAGCTGGGAAGGTTATACAACCATAACTAATGTAAGGTTTGTCAAAGTATTCTAACATCTAGGAAGCGGAGGCAGGAGGATTGAAAATATGAAGCCAAGGCTAGAGAGTTGGCTCAGTGGTTAAGAGCGCTTGCCATTCTTGCAAAGGACTTGGTTCGCTTCTTTGCACTTACATGGCCATTCACAACCATCTATAACTCCTGCTCTAGGAAGTCTGATGCCCTCTTCTGCCCTCTCAGAGACCATAGTGCAGATAGACATGCAGGCAAACATTCATACACATAATAAAGTACATAAATCTGAAAATTTGGCACCAAACTACATAGTGAAATTTTTATCTCAAAAAACATGTAGAAGGCAGGGAAGAATCACTTGAATTCAAGACCAGCCTCACTTACAGAGTGAATTCCAGGTCAGCCAGGACTACATTTGAAGCTTGTCTCAAAACAAAATGAGCTGAAAGATGGTTCAAGTGGTTAAGTGTGTATACTGTATACTGCTCTTACAAGAGGCCCTGAGTTTAGTTCTCTGCACCCACACTGGGTGGTGCACAACTCCCTGTAACTCCAGCTCAGAGGATCATTAGCTCCTTTGGCCTCTGAGGGAATCAGCATTCATGTATGGGGTGTGTGTGTGTGTGTGTGTGTGTGTGTGTGTGTGTGTGTGTATATCCCATACACAGATAATTTAAGATAAATAGATGCACATTAAGAACAAGGGGGACCGGGCAGGCAGCACTCGGGAGGCAGAGGTGGGCGGGTCTCTTAGAGTTCAAGGCCAGCCAGGTCTACAAAGCCAGTGCCAGGATAGGCTCTAAAGCTATACAGAGAAACCTTGTCTCAAAAAAACAAAACAACAAAAGAAAACACAAGAACTTCTGTGCCTCCTACAGCTCCAACACTAAAAACCAATCATAAAATTGTGTTTGGGCTAGAGAGGTGGCTCCGTAACTGAGAATATATGCTGCTCTTGCAGAGGGTCCAGGTTCAGCACCCACTTGGGGCTCACAAGAACCTGTAACTCAAGTTCCAGGAGATTCCACACACTCTTCTGACCTCCATGGGCTCCTGAACAGCACAGGCTACATGAAGGGTTGAGTGAAAATCTGTTGCGGGGGAGGCAAATTATTACAAAATAAAAACGACTATTTACATTCAACTTGGTGATGCTACAAGTCCCAGCCAGAACAGTTAAACAAGAAATAAAGGCAACTGAATAAAATGTCTAAAACTCTTGTTCGCATATGTGCAAGTTTAAGGCCAGCCTGGTCTGCACAGTGAGTTCAAGACAGATTGGGTTGCACAGAGAAACCCTGTCTTGAGCCTGGTAGTGGTGGTGCACGCCTTTAATCCCAGCACTTGGGAGGCAGAGGCAGGCGGATCTCTCGAGTTCGATGCCAGTCTGGTCTACAGAGCAAGTTCCAGGACAGGCTCCAAAGCTACAGAGGAAACCCTGTCTTGAAAAACCAAGAAAAGAAAAGAAACCCTGTCTTGGGCACAGACAAAAACAAAAAGCCACAACTACGTGTAAATTAGCCAAAAACCAAAGCAAACCAAACAAAAACCAAAACAGCTATACATAAGTTAGCTGAACTCAATGGTGGCACACACTTGCAAGGGTAGTCCTAGGTGCACAGCAAGTGTGGACCCAGCCAGGGAGGGTTACATAATACCGTCTCAAAAAGCCAAGCACACTGTAAAACGAAAGCTAAAAAGTCAACAGAAACGTGGGTTTTAAAGATATGAGTGATATGATCCAGATGCACTGTAGGTGCCGATTGTTTTGTTTTTTGGCTTTTCGAGACAGGGTTTATCTGTGTAGCTCTAGCTGTCCTGAAACTTGCTTTGTAGGCCAGGCTGACCTCAAACTCAGAGATCCACCTGCCTCTGCCTCCCCACTGCCGAGATTAAAAGGCGTGTGCCACCACCACCCAGCTTACCTTTTATTTTCAAGGGTTTTAGTTATTTCAGGTTGGCCTCTAATTTGCTGTGTAGCTGAGGCTGGGCTTGAATTCCCACATCTATTGCTAACCACATTTTACAGAAAGGCAGGGAATGATAAAAATAGATATTTTTAAAGACAGGGCTGGACAGGTGGCTCATGGGCTGAGAGCACGGGCTGCTCTTGTAGAGGACCTGGGTTCAGTTCCCAGCACATGGAGGTTCAGGGGGTCTGGTGCCCTCTTCTGCCCTCAGTGGGTGCCAGGCATGCGTACTGTGCAATGCACACATGCAGGCTAAGCACAAATATAAAAAGTAAAGAAAACCGAAAACCTTAAACTATCTTAGATTAACCAGTAAGTCTGGTCCTTTGTGGGTGGGGCAGTCTTGCTATGTAGTTTATGCTGGCCTGAAGTTATGATCCTTCTGGCTCAGCCTCCTGAGTGCTGGGATATAGGCAGACACCACTGACTGGTTAGGTCTTAGGTCTGTTTATAGAATACAATACCCTGCCGGGCGGTGGTGGCGCACGCCTTTAATCCCAGTACTCGGGAGGCAGAGGCAGGCGGATCTCTGGGAGTTCGAAACCAGCCGGGTCTACAGAGATAGTTCCAGGACAGGCTCCAAAGCCTCAGAGAAACCCTGTCTCAAAAAACCAAAAAAAAAAAAAAAAATAGAATACAATACCCTATAACAGTTTAAAACTACGAACAGACTCTAGACATCCATTTGGATAATCCTCAGTAACCTGCTGGGGAAGCAGAAAGGAAAGTGTGCAGCTTCAGTGTGTGTGAGTGCAGGTACAGACAGGAAGGAGTTAAGGGTTCTGAGCACCTGCCTGGGGTCCAGGTTCCCTACCTTAACCCCTGCAGCAACCTGGTGAGCTAGTTCTAACTTCCAGCTGTTGAGCTCTTCCTAGCTCCCACAGAGTCTGCAGGAGCCCAGGGATACTGACCCACGCGCAGGCTCCTCCAGACCTCCCACCCACCCCCACCAGTCCAAGGACTCAGGCCCGGACCATGTTGTTAGGTCTGTGCTGGACAGGCAGCCTGTAACTCCAGCCGAGCTCCCACCCCCTGCCCACAGCCTGGGGAAGCCCCAGCTCGGCCAGGCTGCCGACAATGCTTCCCATTCAGCTCTGTCCCTGCTGCCAAGCCTATGGGCAAGGGAGGGGGGGGGTAGTGCCGGCATCCAGTCGGGGACTGTCCCTGGTCTTTCCCTTGTGCAGGGCCTCCAGACAGGGCTGGCAGTTCCAGTCGGCATGGAGAGGTGAGTTTTGGGGCCCTGAGGGTGCAAGGGAGTCATAGATGACCTAGGTGGCCATAGATGATACCGTATTCTTCTTTTGTGCCTCTGAGGAGCTGGGGGTAGGCCACAGGATCTTCCTTGTACCTGAGGTTCTCCAGAGGTGGCCCTTAAAGAAGAAAGGGGGATGTAGCTGTTCTGGTGCAGTTCTGTGGCTTAGTCTTTTGGGGCCAGGTGAAGAGAGATCCATGGCAGCTGTCTATGTCCTGGACCTTTGTCTCTTCAGGAAATCAGCCTAACGGGCCCCCTTCCTACCCTATCTCAAGCCAGAGTCTAGAGAAAGCCACCAGCGCTGAGAAGGGGGGTGAATTCTGAGACTAAGGAGACAATGGCAGACAGTAACAATCCTGGGAGTAGTTATGGGGAGGCCCATGGGATGAGGTTTCAGCCCAGCATCAGGGAAGGAGCTCGGCATTCACACATGGCCCAAGTATATTGAAAGGAGGAGCTGAGAGAATTAGGTGGTGCTGGACCCGTGCAGTGGGTACCCAAACCACCTGAGGCGTGTGATGGAGAATGTTTACATCCTTCAGTCAGATGCTGGGAGATTTCTGTTGTGGGTATCATGGAGCCTGTCTGTAGTCTGGAAAATTCCCTTGGTTGCTAGGTGGAGCCCAGGGAAGGACAGGAAAGCCACGATGGCAACAACCATCCGTGAGATGGGATGGGCAGTGACTGTAGTTGTGCGGTGGAGTGGTGGAAAGGTAGGCAGACAAGGGAGATACATCTTGCCTGGTGCAGTCCAAACCCCAGGTCCTCCATTCCCCTGTATCAGGCCAGTGAACTGTGTGGTCCTCAGGTAACACGAGGACAAAAGAAGCCTGAGCTGCCTGCTTACCATGATAGCGTGTCTCTGGGTAGAAGACAGACTCACTCAGGGACTTCAGGTCCTTCAACATCTGCACCTCCCCAATGAAGTGCAGAGTCAGGTTGATTTTCTGCATCTGAGTTCCTCCTCAGTAAATCAAAGCTGATTACAAGCTGCTCCTGTGGGAGGTGAAGGAAGGGGCCCAAGCCATGGCACTTTTCTGGGCCCAGAGAATGAAGGCCTGCAGGGGTCTTAGTTGTCCTGGATCGGGTTTGGTGCCCACCAGGGTCGAGGCCCCATGAACATCAGCTCTCCCTCTCCTCCCAGGCCCCAGAGCTCCACCCCTGTCTTCATGCTGCTGCTTTTGGTGTTGCTACTGGGCCCAGCTTGGCACGTAGCTGCCCAGCGATGCCCACAGACCTGTGTCTGTGACAGCTCCAGGCGGCACGTGACCTGCTGCCACCAGAACCTCACCGAGGTGCCGAACACCATCCCCGAGGTCAGGCGGGTCACACTGGCATGGGTTAGCAGTGTGCTAAGACGGGTCACACTGGCATGGGTTAGTGGTTTGCTAAGACGGGTCACACTGGCATGGGTTAGTGGTTTGCTAAGACGGGTCACACTGGCATGGGTTAGCGGTTTGCTAAGACGGGTCACACTGGCATGGGTTAGCGGTGTGCTAAGACGGGTCACACTGGCATGGGTTAGCGGTGTGCTAAGACGGGTCACACTGGCATGGGTTAGCAGTGTGCTAAGAGGGGAAGAGTGGCACGAGCCGTGGCTCACACTGGTGGTTCTGCCCCCAATGTCTGGTTTCTCAAGTCCCGCTCCTTGAGCCTGGGAAGAAAATGGGAAGAAAAAACAACCTGTAACAATGGCTCACACCTCTAATCCCAGCACTTAGGAAGGATGGATCTCACTGAGTTCAAGACCAGCCTGGTCAACATACCAAGTTCCAGGCCAGCCAGAATCATGTCTCAAAAAACAAAACCAAACAAACCCATAATAACGATATAATTTATTTACAATCTGCATGACTACAAATATTGCATTCGCGACAGGTTCTGGGGTGAACTGGGGGTGTGCCGGGAGAAGATACTTCTTCTGCCCTTTGGAGTTATGAGTTCATGGACGAGAATGCCAAGAGCAATGACAGGAATGAAGAGAGCACAGTGAGGGCTGCTCGGTGGCAAGAGAATCAGAGAGGTGACGGGGATAAGCCAAGGCTCAGGTTCCAGTGCAGCTCAGTGTCCTTTCCCGCTCCTGTCCCCAGCTGACCCAGAGGCTGGACCTCCAGGGCAATCTGCTGAAGGTCATCCCTCCAGCTGCCTTCCAGGACCTGCCTTACCTCACACATCTGGACCTGCGGCACTGCCAGGTGGAGCTGGTGGCCGAGGGTGCTTTCCGAGGCCTGGGCCGCCTGCTCCTCCTCAACCTGGCTTCCAACCGCTTGAGCATGCTGCCCCAGGAGGCTCTGGACGGGCTAGGCTCACTGAGGCGGCTGGAGCTGGAGGGGAACATGCTGGAGGAGCTGCGGCCGGGGACCTTCGGTGCCCTTGGCTCGCTGGTCACACTTAACTTGGCCAACAACGCCTTGGTCTACCTGCCCGCCATGGCCTTCCAGGGGCTTCTGCGCACTCGCTGGCTGCAGCTGTCCCACAATGCGCTCAGCGTGCTGGCCCCCGAGGCCCTGGCGGGTCTGCCGGCTCTGCGTCGCCTCAGCCTGCACCACAACGAGCTGCAGGCCCTGCCCGGGGCCGCCCTGTCCCAGGCCCGCAGCCTGGCGCGTCTGGAGCTGGGCCACAACCCGCTCACCTACACGGGTGAGGAGGACGGCCTGGCGCTGCCCGGCCTGCGCGAGCTGGCCCTGGACCACGGGGCCCTGCAGGCTCTGGGGCCCCGGGCCTTCGCCCACTGCCCGCGCCTGCACACCCTCGACCTCCGCGGGAACCAGCTGAGTAGCCTGCCCCCGCTGCAGGGCCCGGGCCAGCTGCGCCGGCTGCGGCTGCACGGCAACCCGCTGTGGTGCGCCTGCCACGCGCGGCCCCTGCTCGAGTGGCTGGTGCGCGCCCGCGTGCGCTCGGACGGCGCGTGCCGGGGGCCGCGGAGGTTGCGAGGCGAGGCCCTGGATGCGTTGCGGCCTGCAGACCTGCGCTGCCCCGGGGACGCGGCGGAGGACGAGGACGAGGTCGAGGCCGACGCCGGTCCCCGCGCCCCTCCGCGCTCCCCGCACCAGGAGGCCGCGACGGCCACGCCCTGCCCTCCGGGCTGCGTGTGCGTCGGGGAGACGCGGCACAGCGCTTGCGACGGCCGCGGCCTGCGGGCTGTGCCCTGCGGCTTCCCCAACGACACCCAGCTCCTGGACCTGAGGCGCAACCACTTCCCCTCGGTGCCCCGCGCCGCCTTCCCGGGCCTGCGCCACCTGGTGTCGCTGCACTTGCAGCACTGCGGCATCGCGGAGCTGGAGCCCGGCGCCTTGGCGGGCCTGGAGCGCCTGGTCTACCTCTACCTCTCAGACAACCAGCTCTCGGGCCTGAGCGCCGCAGCCCTCGAAGGGGCCCCCCACCTCGCCTACCTGTACCTGGAGCACAACCGCTTCCTGAGGGTCCCGGGGGCTGCTCTGCGCGCCCTACCCAGCCTTTTCTCGCTACACCTCCAGGACAACGCGGTAGACCGCCTGGCGCCTGGGGACCTGGCAGGAGCGCGGGCTTTGCGTTGTCTTTACCTGAGTGGAAACCACATCACCCAGGTTTCACCTGGGGCGCTGGGGCCAGCTCGGGAGCTGGAGAAGCTGCATCTTGACAGGAATCAGCTGCGAGAGGTGCCCACAGGCGCCCTGGAGGGGCTGCCGGCACTCACAGAGCTGCAGCTCTCGGGGAACCCATTCAGGGCTCTGCAAGATGGGGCCTTTCAGCCTGTGGGGCGGTCGCTGCGGCAGCTCTTCCTGAACAGTAGTGGCCTGGAGCAGGTGGGTGCTGGGCGAAGGGCAGGCAGGAAGCACAGGCCATAGGAGTACATTCCTTCGGCAAGCATTTTAGGCAGGGCTTGAGAAAGGCCCTAAGATAAACCAAACATTCCCCTAAACCCTTAGGGAGTTCAGGTGTGGGTGTCAGGCCAGGGGCAGCTAGAGGCCTGTCGAGGGACATGGAAGAACTGGAGTCTGCGCAGTTACTGCTGTGGAGAGTCCCTAAGAGGCATGGCGATGATAGGTTCAGGCCTAACTGACAGAAGCTGGGCATTGTGTGACTTGGAATGAGATCACGCTGGGTATTAACTGCCCTTCCCACGTGGACCCACTTGGGCCTTCCATCTCTCTGCTGGAGAGGATGGACCTTCCCTGCAGACCTGGGGCAGTCTGCCTGGCAGGGGCACACAACGGGAATTGGCATTTCTTTGCAGATTTCTCCCAGGGCCTTCTCGGGCTTGGGAACAGGGCTCCGGAACCTGTACCTGCAGAAGAACCAACTTCAGTCCCTGCCTGCGCTGCCGTGGCTCAGCGGGCTGGAGCTCATCGACCTCAGTGGCAATCCCTTCCACTGTGACTGCCAACTGCTCCCGCTCTACAGGTAGTCACCCCCACCAGAGCCCCCCGCAGCAGCATCAACTGCTGGCATCAAGTCCAGCTAGCTCCCTGGAGGTGTCGTGGCTGTGCACCACCAGCCAGCTTAGGGCGGCTGTGAGGATCCTCCAAGCCAAGCATGAAGGCACTCTTGCCAAGTCATTGCTATTCCTAAGTACCTAGGATGGTGTTAGCTCTCTGTTGCTCTGATAAACGCTGCGACCAAAAAACAACCGGTGTGGCGGGCATAGTGGCAGCAACCTTTAGTCCCAGCAGTCAAGATGCAGAAGCAGGCAGACCTTTGTGAGATGGAGGCCAACCTGATTGATACAGGCCAGGCCAGCCAGGGCTACATAGTGAGATCCTATCTCAAAACAGTCAGGCAGCGGTGGTGCAGGCCTTAAAATCTCAGCACTTTGGAGGCAGAGGCAGGTGGATCTGAGTTGGAAGCCAGCTCAGTCTACAGAGCAAGAGGACAGCCAGGGCTAAACAGAGAAAGCCTGTCTTAAAAAACCAAAAATAAGCCAGGTGGTGGTAGTGCAAGCCTTTAATTCCAGCACTCAGGAGGCAGGGGCAGGCTGATCTCTGTGAGTCTGAGGCCAGCCAGGGCTGCAGAGCAAGTTTCAAGACAGGCTCCAAAGCTACACAGAAAAAGAGAAACCCTGTCTCGAAAAATGAGAAAAAGTAAAACCAAAATCAAGCAAAAAACAGAAACAACAAAACAAAACAAATCAAAAAGCAACTTGGCATGGGTTTAGCTTACAGATTATATAGTTCATCAAGGGCAGCCAGGGCAGGAGCTCAGGGCAGGAGATGCACTGAGGCAGAGCCAGGCAGGGAGACTGTTGACTGGCCTGCTCACTTTGCTTTCCCATACAAGCCAGGACCAACTTCCTAGGTTGGCACTGACTACAGTGAACTGGGCCCTCCTACCTCAATTATTAATCAGGATAGTGCCTCATAGACATGTCTACAGGCCAGTCTGGAGGAGGCAATTCCCAACCGAGGCCCCTTCTTCCTCGGTGGGTCATTTGAGTCAAGCTGAAGAGAACTCAATGGTGCAGGTGGACTGAGCTTTTTTGACTCCTTCATAAAGGTGGGATGTCGTCCTCTCTTGGTGAGCTGGGACCAAAAAAAATACATATGTGTATTTGGCACGATGACATAAAAAAGCAACCAGAAGCTGGGCTAGTGACCATGGCAGTAATCCCAGCACTTGGGAAGTAGAGGCAGGAGGATCAGGAGTTTGAGATTAGCCTGGATTAAATAAAAACAAAGGCTGGGGACAGAGCCCAGTTGGTAGATTGCTTACCTAGCACGAAGCCCAGGGTTCGGTCTTTATAAATACCAGGTGTGTGCAGACATCTGTAACCCCAGCACTCAGGAGGTGGAGACCAGATCAGAAGTTGACATCCGTCTGGGCTATATGAGACCTGGTGTCCCTGTTTTTTGTTTTTTTGATTTTTCGAGGCAGGGTTTCTCTGTAGCTTTTGGTTCCTGTCCTGGAACTAGCTCTTGTAGACCAGGCTGGCCTCGAACTCACAGAGATCCGCCTGCTGGTGTCCCTGTTTTATAAGTACCAGGTGTGTGCCCACATCTGTAACCCCAGCACTCAGGAGGTAGAGACGGGAAGATCAGAAGTTGACGTCCGTCTGGGCTATATGAGACCCGGTGTCCCTGTTTTTGTTGTTTTAGTAGAATAACAAGTCTGGGGTCAAGCAAGCCTAAGGGCCGGTCAGCCTAGGCTCTGATGTAATACGTTCCATCTGTGAAAAGGATGAGCAGTCTAATCCACAGAACCATGGCTGCTGGAGAATTCAGTACTGTTAGCAGGTGTCAGTATAATGTCTGGCACACGGTAAGCACTGCTACTGTTTCTGTCTCTTTTTATGCAGAAGGGATCAGAGGCTTCAAGTGACTTGGAGGCGAGCCACCCAGCCAGAACTCTCCATGGAGACTGTCTTTGGTGCCCTGCCTCAGAGCTCCTGACTCTCCTCATACTCCTCGGGAAATCTCTCACCCGTGCATGCCACCCACAATGAGCTCCCCATCTCTCTTTCCTCCTCAGGTGGCTCATTGGGCTGAACCTGCGGGTAGGGGCCACCTGTGCCACCCCTCCCAGTGTCCGTGGTCAGAAGGTGAAAGCTGCAGCTACTGTCTTTGAAGTTTGCCCAGGCTGGATTGCCAGGAAGGCCAAGAGGACTCCAACCTCCAGGTTCAGTGCCAGGAGAAGCCCTAGCAACAGAAGACATCAATGAACAGACAAGGTGGGCCCTTAGGTGGGAGGGAGGTCTGGGTCCCAAGCTCCTGGGAAGCCCTGATTTTTCTTGGTCCTGAATTGGGCAGTGACCCACGGTCCCGCTGCATGATGCGGTAACGCGGCTTTCCTCACTGGACACCACGTATTTACCCCAGTCCTGTTTTACTGACCTCTGCTGACTCCACGCTTTGCTATTCTGCTCTCAGACCTGGCTCTGCCTCCCACCACCTGTCAGTCACAGGTTGAGGTGTCCTTGAATGTTGGGGACCATGTGAGGGGAGCAACAGGCAATGTTGGAACTCATGGAACACAGCTAGGCAGTTGGCAAAGCCACACCCGAGTGAGCCGTGGAGAGGCAAAGCCCTGAGGACTCCATGTCCACCACATCCCTGTCTATGGGCTGGAGAAAAACTCTTGGGGGTCTCTAGCCCCCCACTAGGCAGTGGTACTGGTACTTACAATAATAGTGACTGACTTTCCCCAGGCATTGCTGCTGGGCCAGATTAGTGATTCAACCACCACCTTTAGAAAGAATTTAGACATATAGAATTGTTAATAAGATTTGGTTGTTTTTGTTTATGTTATGTTACACGTGTAATTTTTCATATATTTGTTATGCCTCAATAAAGCATTCAATGTTAAAAGAAAGATGTTTTTGCTAATAGCTTTGAGGTGAAAAGCTTGGGTTAACTGGAGTTTAGAAAGGCAGAGTTGAGTGAGGGACTCGTCACTGTCAGGGAAGAACAAAGCAGTCCAGCTATTGGCTGGCGCGCCTTTCTTGTTAGGATGGGTTGGTGATCAAAGATGACCATCCCTTGTGCCCATTTGTCCTCAGCTTCCTGGTCTAAAAAACTGTTGATGAGGGGGTATTGTTTTTTCATATATAAAACTTTAGATTTGTGATTCAAGACTTATATAGTCTTAGACAATGATTGGTTCTTTCTTTGTAACCATGAAATACAGCCTGCCAGTCAAAGAACTGGCTGAGAAAAATGCCTTGCTTGCTCACACTGTTAATCTGTAACAAGCTGCTGGACATGAATGTATGCGGGTTCTTGGGGCAACTAATTTTTCACTTCTAATATGTAAAATGTTTAATTATGTAGGGATATGGAAAACAAGGTTTTTACTTGTAGTCATTGTAAGCACCCACTTAAAATCTTTATACTTCTTGATTTTGCTGGGGTGTATTAGCTGTAAGGAGAAAAAATAAGAAGGGAGAAGGAAAACACTAGGAAAGACGTAGAAGGAAGTCCTCAGGAAAGAGGAAGGAAAATAAGGTAGACGAACAGAACACAGAAGACTGGAGCAGAACAAGGACAAGAAGAACAAAGCCGCTCTCAGCCCTCAGAAGTCTGTTTTCCTTGCCAACTCTGCACCTGGTTCCCAGTGTCTCTGACCTGCACAAGGCTTGCTCTGCACTTGAACTCTCGGTTGTAGCTAAGTGTCTTGATGTATCAGTGAAGGAAGGCTGAGCAGGCTCCATGTGTCTGCAGGGTGAGCCACTACCTGTAGGAGGCCCTGATGCAGACAGATAAGGCCACGTAGGAGTCCAGAGGGAGGAGACTATTCAAATTATCTTTGAACTGAACAACAAACAACAGAAACCCCAGGGCTGGAGATAAATCTATGTACTGCTCTTGTAGAAAACCCGAGTTTGAGTCCATTACCCATGTGGAATGGCTCACAGATGTTTGTAATCCCAGCTCCAGGGGACCTAACACCTCTGGCTTCCACCAGCATTCAGATGAGAGGGGGTGCACGAGACAGAGGTGAGGTGGTGGTGGATGCAAGTGTGCGCACACACAAAGGAAAGCAAGATCTTGAGCTGCAGGATACAAGTCCTTAGGAAACAGACTTGGAGCTAGTTCTAGGGGCAGCAGCAGAAGCACACAGTTGCCACTCACTGACATTGCCTTCTCCAGCCTTTTGTTGGCCATCAGTACATGGGAGTCGCCTAGAACCCAGATGCCAACACTAGACATGGACAGTGACAAGCGACTGTAATCCTGGTCCTTGGAGGAGCAGGGGAAAAATGGTGGAAGGTCACATTGGGCTATATGAGATTATCTCTGTAAAATCAAAATGGATCAAATAGCCCAAGAGGCCCCATACTCCCCTCAAAGCCACCATGTACTTCTCACACTTATTTGTACGTGTATCTTGGTGTGCACAAGAGGTCTGAGGACAACCCGAGGGAGTCATTTTCACCTATGTGGGTTCCAGGGATCAGACTCAGGTCCTTGGCTTTGTGGCAAGTGCACTTACCCACTCCACTGTCCTGGTCTACACCGCACACCCACACCACTGTCCTGGTCTACACCGCACACCCACTCCACTGTCCTGGTCTACACCGCACACCCACTCCACTGTCCTGCTGGTCTACACCGCACACCCACTCCACTGTCCTGCTGGTCTACACCGCACACCCACTCCACTGTCCTGCTGGTCTACACCGCACACCCACTCCACTGTCCTGCTGGTCTACACCGCACACCCACTCCACTGTCCTGGTCTACACCGCACACCCACTCCACTGTCCTGGTCTACACCGCACACCCACTCCACTATCCTGGTCTACACCGCACACCCACTCCACTGTCCTGCTGGTCTACACCGCACACCCACTCCACTGTCCTGCTGGTCTACACCGCACACCCACTCCACTGTCCTGCTGGTCTACACCGCACACCCACTCCACTGTCCTGCTGGTCTACACCGCACACCCACACCACTGTCCTGCTGGTCTACACCACACACCCACTCCACTGTCCTGGTCTACACCACACACCCACTCCACTGTCCTGGTCTACACCGCACACCCACTCCACTGTCCTGCTGGTCTACACCGCACACCCACTCCACTGTCCTGGTCTACACCGCACACCCACTCCACTGTCCTGCTGGTCTACACCGCACACCCACTCCACTGTCCTGGTCTACACCACACACCCACTCCACTGTCCTGGTCTACACCACACACCCACTCCACTGTCCTGCTGGTCTACACCACACACCCACTCCACTGTCCTGCTGGTCTACACCACACACCCACTCCACTGTCCTGCTGGTCTACACCACACACCCACTCCACTGCCCTGCTGGTCTATACCACATCCCTTCCCAGTACATGCTGGCTGGAGGTGGACTCTTCAGGGTTCATACTCCTGACTCCAGCTCACTGTCCGAATGTTCCCTGGGCCTGATAGCCAATGGGGATTCAGTGCCTGCAGGAAGGCTGGACCACACCTGTGCTCTTGACTCAGCATGAAGCCCATCAAGCTTGGTGAGTGGTCATGAAAGGTCATTAAGGGGTGTCCCAGTAATGGTGGTAACTTTGCAGACCAACCTAGGCTCATTCCCATTGTTGTATTTATCCTGTATATTTAAGCTACCAATTTATCTCTTACTGAGCCTTCTTTTTCCCATCTGCAAATGAAGCCAGGATGCACCTCACAAGGGCACCAGCAATGAGTTAGCTATCTACAACGTGTAGTCTGGCATCTGGCGTAGAAGGCTCTCCTTCCCTCAAAGGGTGGAAGACTGAATCTCCAGAAAGGTTGGGAAGCAGAGGGTGGGCTCCTGAAGTGCTGATCTGGTCTAATGGAAAGCCTCCAGTGGATGAAGTGGGGTGTCAGGAGGGAACGCCAGGATGATGCTAGCCAGCAACTCCACCGCTCAGACTCTGAGGCCTTTAGTTCCTAACCAAGGGCAAACTGAGGCAAAAACCCCCATTTCCAAGAGGGGCTGGAGTGATGGCTCAGCAGCTAAGGGCACCAGCTTTCAGAAGAAGCAGGTTTGATTCTTAGAACCCACATAACTTGTATCATGCACCTTATCCTGCCAGGTGTGGTGGTGCACACCTTTAATTCTAGCACTCAGGAGGCAGAGGCAGGTGGATCTCTGTTAGTTTGAGGCTAGCCTGGTCTACAAAGTGAGTTCCAGGATAGCTAGGGCTGTTACACAGAGAAACCCTATCTTGGGAGGGGGGAGGAGAAAGAGACCTTGTCCAACAACTTTGGGAACTGAGGCATGGCTGAGCTTGAGGCCAGCCGGAGCTATACAGCGAGACCATAGATCTAACCCGTTGGCAACCGCAACCTAAGTTATGTGCATCGTACCTCACTAACACTAACTAGGGACAGGTGAGCTCCCAGAACCACCAATGACAACACAGCTGAGGTTGCTATGGGGACAGAGGGCAGTCTATTGCTTGTCCCTTTGTGTGTTAACTGTCTCAATACTCTCTAAAGTGGCATTAAGATGAGGCCATGTAAGTTGGACTTCAGCAAGGGCTTTGTCTCATACAGGTGTGGTGCACACATCTGCAGGCCCAGCACTCAGGAGGTGAAAATTTAGAAGTTAAGGTCAGCCTGGGCTACAACCCTGTTTTGTTGTTTTAATAGAATAACAAGTATCTGGGGGGCTGGAGAGATGGCTCAGCAGTTAAGAACACTAGCTGCTCTTCCAGAGGACCCGGGTTCAATTCCCAGCACCCACATGGCGGCTCACAACTGTCCAGTTTCAGGTGATCTGGTTACACTAATGCACATAAAATAAAGCTAAATAAATAAAGGAAAAAAAAAGGGCCTGGAGTCAAGCAAACCTAAGGTCCAGTCATCCCAGGCTCTCAAGTTCCAGCAATGATCACCACAGCTCCCTCTGCTCATCCGTGAAAAGGCCAGGCCAGAGCTGGAATGAAGGCCAAGCATCCACCCTCTTGTCGGGGGTCTCATGCTCCTGACACATAGAGGCACTCAGTCATCTTCCTCCCAGCATCCTCTCCTGTGCCTGATGCTCACTCACCTCATATTTCTTTTTGAAAGATTTTATTTTTAATTACACATTTATATGTACATCTACATAAATTATACATTGTACCCATGGAAAGGACAGGTGCAGGTCCCCCTGGAGCTCAAGTTACAGGTGCTTATGAGTGGATACTGGGAACTGAACCTGCCTTTTGCTGTGGTCTTCCATCTACTTCCAGACCTATTTACCCTATGAGGAAATCAGGCTGTGACAAACGCCTCTCTCACCCAGGTTCTGCACAGGGTGGGCTCTATCAGGACTGAGTTCTCTCCTGACCTTCCCAGTCTGTACAGACTGGCCACTCACATGCCATCTCAGGGATGAACCCAGCCTAGGTCCTGAGCAAAGCCAGGGAGCACATGTCAGGATGACAGTGCAGACTGACCAGCACAAAAGGCGGCTGTGCAACACAGCCCAACACAGCCACGACAGGACACGGAGCCATGGCCGACTGCAGGAGCCCCACTGGTTTCCCGGATGTTCCCGGAGGGCTAGATGACCAGTTTCAAGAGTGTTTAACTGGGGCCGGGTGCACTCCTTTAACTCTAGCACTCAGGAGACAGAGGCAGGGAGATCTCTGAGTCAGAGGCCAAACTGGTCTACACAGAAAGATTCTGTCTCCAAAAACAAAAACAACAAAGCCAAAACAAACAAGAAAACCCACAACAAAAAGTGTGACTGGGAAAAACAAAAGCTCAAACTTGAGGTAAAGATGCGAGCTGAGCAGTGACGTGGCTGACCAAGGCAGGGAAATGGAAATGCTAGGTCCAACCCCAGCCAGGCTCTCGAGAAGCAGGATCCCCAGGGCCAAGTCACTGTAGGAT